TTACTCACGATCAAATAAATATGCAAGAACCTAAAATAGTCTAATAATACCGGCGGACGTACACTACCGACGACTGGGAGGTTTGAGATTTCGAGGGCGTTGACGATTTGGGGGAAACTAGGAGGCGTTGTGGGGAGCGAGGCTGCGACCAGCGAGTTGCGAGTGAGAGAAATGGAAATTGGAAGATTAGAATTGTGACTTGTAGTATATGGACTTGAGTTGAGCTGTTTAGTGCTACTTCTTTCAAATTTGGAGCTTTTTTTTATATATAATTAGGTTTGGGGGGTCATAAATCTTAATAATTAATAGAAAATTAGAAATTGACAAAAATACTTACAAAATGACAAAATTATTCAATTTTATAAAATTGAAATTTTGGATAAATTTTAAAAAAAATCAATTTTTTATTTTTTTATTTTATATATTTTTCGCCGGTCCGGTTTGGTTTCAAACCATAATTAAAATTCTCAAACCTAAACCATACCGTTTTTGACCGGTTTGGTTTGGTTCAAAACCATTTCGTTGACGGGTCCACGTGGCACCATATCACCGGTTTCGAAATTGCGGTTTCGGTTTGATTTTCCGGTTTGTCGATTTTGGCTTAGAGCCCTAGTTTTTTTCAAACTAAAGGCTACAAACAGGGGTTTAATTATTTATCCGTAATTTATTTTTATTTATACTTTTAACTGTTTATAAATCTTAAATACCGGTAGTTCTGAAGATCCACAAACCACCATAAAAAAGAAAGCATGTCGAGTATTAAGCTACAAATTTTTCACTTCCTTGTGCATCCTTATCTGCTCACTCTAATCACTATATTTCTTCTATGGCATTTCATCAAAAGGGTGGCCGGCAACAAAAAAGTCCCGCCATCGCCGTCAAAGCTCCCGATCATCGGAAACCTCCACCAACTGAGCTCACTTCCTCACCGTTCTCTTCAATTCCTGGCCAGAAAACACGGCCCGTTAATGCTTCTCCACTTTGGAAGTGTGCCATCGCTTATCGTTTCATCGGCGGATGCCGCCAGGGAAATTATGAAAACCCACGATGTTAACTTTGCTAACAGGCCAGATTCTAGCGTTGCACGGCGGCTTCTCTACGACGGGAAGAATTTGTCAATTGCCCCATATGGAGAATACTGGAGACAGTTGAAAAGCATATTTGTACTTCAGCTTCTGAGTAATAAAAGGGTGCAATCGTTTCAAGCTATAAGGGAAGAAGAAACTGCCTTGATGATGGAAAAGATTAAGAAATCGTATATTTCTTCATCGCAATTGAATTTGAGTGATATGTTTACAGAGCTTACAATTGATATGGTCTGCAGATCGGCCTTCGGGAGGAAATACTGGGATGGGGAGATTGGGGAGAAATTTCTATTGCTGATAAGGGAACTTTTGGAGATTTTGGGGAGCTTTAGTGTTGGAGAATTCATTCCATGGCTGGCGTGGATTAATCGTGTTAATGGTTTTGATGCTAGAATGGATTTTGTTTCTAAAGGATTTGATGAATTCTTTGAAGCAGTGATCGAAGGACGATTGAAAGATGATGTGGAGAATTCAAGTGGAACAGATGAAAGCAGAGAAAATTTTATTGATATTCTGCTCAAGATTTACAAGGATAATACCACTGGTGTTTCAATTGACAGAGATAGTATCAAAGCAATAATTTTGGTGAGGACCTCTCTTTCTTCCATCCCTCCACTTTGTCGAAGAGCTTAAGCAGTTAGGGAGAAAACTCATATATAATAATTTACGTCTTTTCTGCACGTTCTTAATGTGCATACCAGGTTCATATTATTAAATTTCTGACATACGAACAATGGGTAGCAATTAGATTTGAATATAGGAATTTCTCACGTCATTTAAAAGCTTAAGATGGTGGCTTAAAAACGTAATTGAAATACCTATGCAAACTCTTGTGTGAAGCTATAAATTCTGTTTATGTTACTTTTTCTGAATTTTCTTGATTTGCTTTCAGGATATGTTTATTGGTGGAACTGATACAACATCCACAGTTCTAGAGTGGGCACTTTCCGAGCTCATAAGACACCCAGCCATCATGAAGAAGTTGCAAAATGAGGTTAGGGGAATTCTCAATGGCAAACAGGACATAACTAACGATGACTTAGAGAAAATGCATTATTTGAAAGTTGTTATCAAGGAAACTCTTCGGTACCATACTCCAATCCCATTATTAGTTCCTCGTGAAGCAATCAAAGATGTTAATATAATGGGATATGACATTGCAGCAGGGACAATGGTCATGATCAATGCATGGGCTATTGGTCGAGACCCTGCTTTTTGGGACGAACCAGATATGTTTCGACCTGAGAGATTCTTAAATTCTTCGATAGATTTCAAAGGATTTGATTTCCAGTTTATCCCATTTGGAGCTGGCCGAAGGGGTTGTCCAGGGATGGCTTTTGCAATGGCAACAGGTGAACTCGTGTTAGCAAATCTTGTGCAGAAATTTGATTGGGAATTGCCTAATGAAGTAAAAGGGGAGGATTTGGACATGAGTGAACATCCTGGTCTTACAATTCGAAGAGAAGTTCCTCTTTTTGCTGTTGCAACTCAATGCTATTTCTAATAAATAAGAAGCTTTTGATATCCATGTAACTTGTATTGTAATATTATATAAATCGAAGTTCCATTTTGTTTCTACACTTCGAACACATTTTCTCATATTTTGTTGGTTAATAAATTCTTGACGATTATAGAATACAATTTATAGCTGATCTAATATTTTGCACGTGTGATTTCATGAATCGAACTCCATCTTCGACAGTAAAATTTAAATAAAGAAAAAACCATATCTCATATGGAAATTTCTTAGGTTAATTTAACATATGGTCGATAAATTTATGTATAAACATTCAAGATGGTCCTTAGTCCTTGTTTGGTCCTCCTCAAACTTATCTTTAACCACACGGTCCACACATTTATGAAGTTCACAACTTTTGTAAACTTTTCAACTGCACATTTCATCAACTTTTATTAAAATCTACTAAAAAACTGATTTTTATCCAAACAGAACGAGGGCTTAATTTGATCACTTCTTAGTGAAAGTAACTAAGTAAGTCCAATTTAAGGTGGTGGTGCTAAATGTTAAAATGGAATAACAGATGCCAATTCCTTTGCCACACAAGAGACTCTTATTCTATATGATAATGAAGCTTCATTTTCCTGACATGTTTCTTTTCTTATGATAAATTGAACGCGTCTTCAGACAGTTTTCAAACATCTTTCACCTTTATCCATGTTAAAGAAATTTGTTAGCAATTGTAAGTATTACTTGTCAAATTATGTGTTTGATGAAATATTGTCTGATACATTAAACTAGAATATTTTAAAGTTCAATATAATATTTTCACTGCCTTGTCAAATTCAACGACTAAAGGAAAGTTCCTAGAAGTGCATGTCCAAGACTCTTGATTTGTTAATTTCGTGGTGAAATAATTCAAACCTCTTTAATAGATAATTTGACATACTTTTTGTATATTATTGTGTTTGATTAGATCAATCGAATATGACTAGCAAATAGTCAATTATATTGTTGGCACGAACCTTTCAATAACGTATAAATTGGGTCATTATAGCTACATTTCTTTATTCCATTATTAGCACTGTGTTTGGTAATCATTTTCTTGGCATTTCTAGAAATTTTTTGACTGTTGGAACAGTAACGTGAGCTCATTGCAACCGTCCTTTTTGACTCAATGAAATAAATGTAAAGAGGTACAAAAGTAATTTCACTTGGATTTATCAATAAATGCAGCTGTCATAATGGCTACCTAACGAACATAATTTTTCAACAAAACAAATGAAAATGACTACCAAACAGAGGCTTGACTTTATTTCGAATTTCGTATAAATTTTATTTGTGTGTTTGTTGAGTCAGACCACATACAAAAAATTTTAATTGTATGGATAATTATAATTGTGGTGTTTGATTAATTCATTGTGAGCCAACTATTCAAATCTCCCAAGGAATCTACGGTGAGAATACGTGATTAAAAAGTAGGTTTTTTTTTTTTTTTTGAATTTACTTGTAAAATTATATTATTGAGAAGGAAAATAATATTTGTACATTTCATGTATACATTAAGGATGACATTGTATGATGTCTAAAAATATATGCCATGAATTATTTTAAGTGTTGGAATCAAAGATAAAAAAGTTTGCCACATCATACACAGTAAAAAAAATAAATATATATATATATATCAATCTTAATGTTACTATAGTGAGACTGTATTTAAAAAAGTATATGGTTGAAAATAAATTTTCATTGATCATCATAATAAATAAAAAAAATAAATTTTAAAAAATGATGCTCAAGGCTCGATTCATCTTACTCAGCAATACAATTATTGATGATATAAAATTATGTCTTTTATCCTTATTATCTACATAAATAAAGACCGAGAAGATTTAGTTTCTATTTGTCACGTATAGGTGTGGAGGGCCATCCGACCCACTCATGGCTGTTAACACAAATAATTTAATAAATATTTTCTAACCACTCAACATGTTTTGTTTTATCGAGAAAATTGCAGCACTGGTCCCGAACCTTAGGAGGTTGGTACAATATCATCCCCAGTCTAAGAAACTGTGCAAAGTAGTTCTCAATCTATATCTCCCACTTCATTTCATTTAAGTGTAAATTTAAATATAATGAAAAAACATATGAAATTTTTGAGAAGTTAAAAATAATAAACGGTTGTCTGTCCAACAACATAATTGATTAATGCATGTGAACGTGAGTAACTCACCCAAACATAAATTTTTCAATTTCTATTACTAGGATTTGTACGATCTCGAGGTCAAGTTGATGGCCACGATCAATACTTTATCCATTCAAATTATGTTCATCAAACCTGTCACATTTTCTTCAATAGGTTATGGTGGGGCTTGCTCTTTAGGCGACTTGGGGCTTTCTAGTTTTGCAATGTGAAATTTCATTGTATGTTGTATTCTACAAAATTCCTTTGACCAAAAAGAAATTTCATTTCCACACAAATTACATATTTGATTGGCCAACAATTCTTGGCAATTGAATTTCCACATTTTGGCCCACAAGTGCACAATTCTTGGTTTTTGATGAATTAATTTTCCCATAGTTTTGGTGGGAAATGATTTTTCAGCTTCATTTTTTTTTTCAATGGAAACAAATTCTATTCCCAATTGTAAATTTTTTTCCCTTTAATGGACAAATTCCATAGAAAATAAAGTCAAACAAACACCAAAAGATCCAAAATTTCAACATTTTTCAAGTGAAAAATTATATCAATTAAACACAATTAATTGACAATTCACAGTAAAATGAATACTATGCAATTTAATTCCACGTAATTCACTTTCTTTCCTCTCAAATTCCATCATTACAATCATACGGACCCTTAAACATCATGAATTGTCTTTCTTACATCACCCGAACCCCGACCCACCTACCCATAGTTGTCGGCCGCCACCACCACCGATGATTACGAGCCAATGATTTGAACTTATGACTTTAACATAAAAGTTGATGAAATGTGTAATTGGAAAGTTGCAGGTGCCATAAAATATGCGGTTAAAATTAACTGATGACTTTAACGTAAATTAAAATTAACTATAGTTTCGAAATCTGCTTTTAGTGCAGGTAAGAGAGTTCTATATGGGATCAGGAGTCGACTGAAAGAAGAAATTTTTGAAGTATTAATGTACGTGAAGGATTGACAAGATGCTCATTTCCAACTGCAAGATAAATATGTCGAAATTCCATGTAGTTGGGTAAGTGACATTTAATTTAACTATATTAGTTTATAATACTGTTTATAACAATAAAAAAAAATTGTACGTGTAACAGTTGTTAATATACAAAAATTAAAATAATCGGTCCCAAACTTGGATAAATGAGAAATGTTTTATCTATTAAAAAAATGAGCTCGACACTTGAAGAACGAGGGCAATAGGGCTGATCCGATGCCAACCCTAAACGTGGGCGGCTAACTTTGAGTTGACCGACTGTGAACTACGTCCAATAATTTGATTGGACGATTAAATAAATTTTAAGGCATCATATATAACTAAAATATTTGTCTATTATCGTGTTTTATTCTTTATATTAATAGTTTTATTCAATTCACAACAATACAAAATGATTTTTAATTGTTAAGAATAGTACCTACTGTAATTTATATTTTATGAAGGTTTATAATTATATTTAGGGGTTATATTACCACTACCATTTTTATTTGTTACACTACATTTTAATTGTAGTTAAAATTCCTAATTTTTTATTCACGGTAGAAATTATTTTATTAACTTTTTTTTGTTGAATTCTTATCTTCAGTCTTCCATTAATTAATATGCATAGTCATTGATAAGTGTATTTGTACATATATTTATATCATTAAATTAAAATATTTGATAGTGATTTAGATGAGTTATAGATTAATTATGTGTTTATTATGTTTGTTAGGTTGAACTCAAAAAAAAATTGTGAAATTGGAAAAAATGACCAAAAAACGTGCGAAAAAAAAGGAAATATAAAGCTTGGGGATCAAAATGTAAACATTTAGTAGTTGATTCGGACCACAAAACGATGATTGAAGATTATATATGATCAATTGAATGCAATTGGAGGTCAAATGAGTGAAATATAGTTGTAATATTTTTACAAATCAATTTTCAGACGAAGAAGTTATATTCCGAATTTTTATTCTCAACTTGAGACCCATTGTTTGGATAGCAAAAGTTCGAATTGGAAAAATTGTATTTCCTAAAAAATTGTATTCCTTTGAATTATCTTTTCAACGCATTTTGAATCATCTTAATCGAATAACTGTCGAAAAATTTATGGCCAAAATACCGAAAATTGCTTGGAGACGAACAAAAAGGAACCTGCGCATGCGAGGGCTGTTTTCCACAGATGAATGGTCTGGGTGTAAACTGGTATTTGCTGGTAAAATTAGTATAAGCAATAAGGGGTTACTCTTTTTGTATTTCAGTTTTGTGTTTTGAATTCATTTTCGATTTTGTGTTTTGAGTGTCTATTTTGAGATTGTTGAAAATGTGTTCTTTTTAGTATTTTAAAAAATTATTTTGAAAATATCTAAAACGTGTTTTGAAATTTTTAACTTGATTATAGCTGAAAATACCCAAAACGACATTTGTCGTTATGGATTTATTTTGTAAATTTTTAACTCTTTTTCAAAAACACATTTTCGAAAATAGGAACGAGAACGCGTTTTCACTATTTTGGAAAATCGAAAATAGGAAACGATTTGAAAACAGTAAAGAGAACATGCCCTAACATTTCGAATTTTACAAATTTAAAAAAGAATGACATGTGAAAAGATTTATCATTTACATTAAGGTGCGTTTGATTGCAATTGTGGAAAATGGGTGGAAAAAAAATGTTTTATAGGGAAAAGATTTGCCTATAAAATATTTTGCAGGGAAAATGATTTCAAGTGTATTTGATTGGTATAATTTTTCACGTGGAAAATTTTTAAATTTTCTATTCATTTGACTTTGTTTTACGTAGAAATTATCCATTAAATTGATATTTTTTTCACAATTGATTATAAAATTTGTTTCAATTGCCAAAAAGTAAAAAAAAAAAGGGAAAATTTTTTTTTTTCCTAAAAAATCATTTTTTTATCAAAGTTTAGTGTTCGTTTGACTTTGTTTTACATGAAAATTGTCTATTAAAGTGAAATTTTTTTTTACCATTGGTTATGACATTTGTTTCCATTGCCAAAAAATAAAATAAAATAAAAAATTTTCCAGCCAGTCGGGAAAACATTTTCATCAAAAACCTGGAAAATGCACACGTGTGGGGAAAATCCGGAAAATATTTTTCGTGGAAAATTTCGCCTATCAAACAGTCAAAAAAGTGAAAAGTGAAAAATATTTTCCTACTTCCCCGAAAAATGTGGCCTATCAAACACGGCCCTATAGAAAAAAGATTGATGAAGTGGCTATAAATTAAATTAAAACTGTCAAAAATCTCTTCACTAGTTAAACGATTGTGCTTATGTAACGTGGGTTAATAATAAAAAGAAATTGGAGGAACTTTTTTTTTTTATTTGATTGATAAGATTTTAACTCAATCAAAGTTCGTCATGCCATTCGTTGATAAACAAATCTGTAAATTATAATGTCCATATACCAAAACCCTTTTTTTCTATTGTACAATTCATTACTTACCAAATGTGCCAAAAATACTGTTCGTACACAGAGAGACTTTGATACAACAATATAAACAGTTAAGTTTGTGTTTCGACCACATTATTTTAGAACAATGTATTTTGGAATAGTAGATTAATGGAGAATGTGTGGTTGAAAAATAAGGAAAAATTATTGACATGATGAAAAATATTATTTCACTGAAAAATGTATTGTTAAAAATGAGTAGAAGAATGAAAATAAAAATTTTAATGTGTACCAAACAGTGGTTAAATATCTTAAATTTACAGCACATCACGTCAAATCTCATCGATATTGCCCACCTCTGTTTTGTATTTTAGTTTCTAATTTTGTTAGTCATTATTTTTATTTATTTTATGTTTATAGAACACGACATTAAAATTTAAATACATCATTATTTTGCTTAAAAGAAAATAAAATTATATCTCAAATAATGTGTACAATAATAAATTAGTATCTGTCCATGTTTGAAAGATTCACGGGGAAAGATTATCAACATTTTTATTCTATTTTAACAAGAATCGAGCTGTTTTGCATCACATGTTGATGGTAACCTCAACCTGTCTCAATACGCCACGTAAACAAATATCATATAAGAAAAAAAAATATTTTAACTGCATAAAATCAATCGATCGGATATGGACTCCTGTGATCCAGTCAAATGTTTAATTTTGCTTTTGAAAAAAGTGTATTAAATGGATGAATTGTACATGGAGTCCTGAACTTTTGAAGATTGTAACGATGAGATCTTAAATCTTTGATTTTTTAGCAATTAAATTTCAAACCATTCAAACGTTTGCGACCGAAGTCCTTTTGCAATATAAATCATGGGTTTGATGGTTGAAAATTCAAATTTTGAGTAAAATCACCTTCGTAACCTTAGTTTGGTTTGAAACAAATTTATAGAGAAAATTACAAAAGAGAGAGGGATAAAAAAAAAAAAAAACCAAAACCAAAATTAAAAAAGAAGGAAGGAAAAACATATACACCTCCCCTCTCCGGTGCAACTCTTGAAAAGATTGGGACTTTGAATGTTAAAAATGAAAGAAAATGCTTATTGTATCAGCATTTACATAATTTTTTTTTTTGAATTAAACTACTTGTACAATGAATTTGCACAATAATTTTGACAATGTTTGTACAATGAATTTGCACAATGATTTTGACAATGTGCGAGGTGTATAGATCATTGCCATTAAATTCAAAAATAATCTTTCAAATCAATGGACATAATACTTGTCAACTCGCACATCGTCAAACTTATTGTCAAATTCATTGTCCAAGTAGCATATTTTACAAATTAATGAAGCGTCAAAAAGAAAGTGAGATTTTTTTCAATCATGCTACATGTACATTTCTTTTGACATCAAGTTTGACATTGTGCCACGTGTTGTGGCATGAGTGGACAGTTTTAAAATAAAATACACTTTTCCGTCAATTTGCATTTGAAAATACATGGAGTGTCAAAACTCCATTTCAATCAATTAATGTACAGGAAGCTTTATTCGATTTTTTTTAATTTAGTCGATGAAATTGGCCCAATCAAATTTTGCCACATCATCTGTTGAACAAATCCGTGAACAATCGGAAAACGAAAGGTTTGAGGACCAAAGTCAGATTTACCTAAAAAATTGGTGCATTTTTGTCTCCTTTCCTGCATGTGTGCATATATAAGAGCTTCGTACCATTCAGGGCTTGTACTCAACAGCGAAACACAAATACAAGTATACAATCACTGAAGAGAAAGAGAGAGCATGTTGAGTTTTAAGCAACAAATGACTGAATCCCTATTACAAAATCCATTTCTAGTCACTCTCGTAACTACGTTTCTCATATGGTTCCTCATCAAACGGCGGCAACAACCGCCTACGGCCAAGAAAACCCTCCCTCCGTCGCCGGCAAAGATCCCAATACTAGGAAACCTCCACCAAATCGGCACACTCCCTCACCGTTCTCTTCAATCCTTGGCTAAAATACACGGACCCTTAATGCTTCTACACTTCGGAAAAGTTCCAACACTCGTCGTTTCATCGCCGGACGCCGCGCGGGAAATTATGAAAACCCATGATGTTATCTTCGCGAACCGGCCGGAAACCAGCGTTATGAAGCGGCTTCTATACGACATGAAGGATTTAGCAGTCGCACCGTATGGAGAGTACTGGAGACAATTGAAAAGCATTTTTGTCCTCCAGCTTTTGAGTAACAAAAGGGTACTAATCGTAATTTGATAACAGTAGTTACACAATAGACAAGGAAGTTAATTAGTGTGTATTAAGAGCAAGCTTGGCAAAGCTTCTTTTTGTCTTTTAAGCTAAGTGCTCTTGCTAACTGACTTGTAGAATACTCTGTTTATAATAAATTTTCTGATTCTGCATTTTTCCAGGTACAATCATTTTGTGCTATAAGGGAAGAAGAAACGGCCTTGATGATGGAAAAAATTAAGGAATCGTGTCTTTCTTCGTCTCCATTGAATTTGACTGATTTGTGTATGGCAATTTCGAATGATATTGTTTGTAGATCAGCTTTTGGAAGGAAGTACAGAGACGGGGCAATTGGGGAGAAATTTCTGAAGCTGATAAGCGAATTTTTGGGACTTTTGGGGAGTATTAATGTTGGCGAATTCATTCCATGGCTGGCATGGATTAGTCGTGTTAATGGTTTTGATGCTAGAGTGGAATATGTTGCTAAAGAACTTGACGAATTTCTCGAAGGAGTAATTGAAGAACACCTGGAAAATGGTGTGGAAAATCCAAGTGCAAAGGATGAAACTAAAGAGAATTTTGTGGACATTCTGCTTAGGATTTACAAGGACAATAATACTGGTGTTTCCATTGATAGAGATAGTATCAAATCAATCATTTTGGTAGGTGACATTTATTCATTTAAATTTTATCTTCTACGAATCCTTTACGTGCTAACCATGTTTATTTTATCAAAGCACTACCATAATAACGAGTTTCAACGAGACTTGAGCTCAAAATATTTGCTATATCCGAGTCTACTAATTACCATATCGTACCTCTCATTAAAGTTGAACCTACTAGAGATGGTACACATACTTACTTAAACTTTATCTTCAACGTCCCCTCATGCCCAATTCGGATTACTTGTATTTTTTAATACGATGAACGTGCATAATTTCCATGAATAAATAGTTGGTAGTCCTAAGCTTGTGACTATTAATTTTCTCAGCCTTACATTTTTTTAACTTTCTTGATTGTTTCAGGATGTGTTTTCTGCTGGAACAGATACCACATCCACAGTTCTTGAGTGGGGAATGACAGAGCTCTTAAGGCATCCAATAGTTATGAAAAAGTTGCAAAATGAAGTGAGGGGAATTCTCAATGGCAAAAAGGACATAACAGATGCTGACTTAGAAAAAATGCATTATTTGAAAGCCGTTGTGAAGGAAACTCTACGATACCACACGCCGATCCCATTATTAGTTGCTCGAGAAGCAAGAAAAGACGTCAATGTAATGGGCTATGACATTGCAGCAGGGACGATGGTCATGACAAATGCATGGGCCATTGGCCGAGACCCTCTTTATTGGGACGAACCAGAAAAGTTTCAGCCAGAGAGATTCTTGAATTCGCCGATAGATATCAAAGGACTCGATTTCCAGTTGATCCCTTTTGGGGCCGGTCGGAGAGGTTGTCCAGGGATCTCTTTCGCAATGGCAACTAACGAACTTGTGTTGGCAAATATTATTCAGAAATTTGATTGGGAATTGCCTAATGGGGCAAAAGGAGATGATTTGGACATGAGTGAACGCCCAGGTGTTTCAGTCCATAGAAAAGTTCCTCTTCTGGCTGTTGCAACTAAATGTTATTTCTGAACGAACCAATTGTTTGATACACTGTACTAGATCTATTGTAATGAACTGTATAATTATCAAGTAATATGGAGTTTGGTTTTGTAATGAGAAAAGTGTACACGTTTTACCAATTATTACTTAGAGATTTCTGTACTTTTATTTTTGATGTTGAGGTTCAGCTACTGATCCTTTTGTAGTTAGCATCTCTAGCATGACACGCCCATTTGATTAGAGATTTAGAATTCTTGATGGTGTTCAAGATCCATAAGTTGTCTCTAACATAGTCGTGAACCAGGGGATTGAAAGAGGGCAATTTAAACTGTGTCTACAATCTGCAAAGGGAGTTATATATATCTGGCATTTCCATCGACTCATGCAGGAGAGCGGCACGAGCAAGGAGGCTCGAGTTTGTTCAGTAAATTTCATTACTGGGATGAATAGAGCAAAAGAGATGACATAGATAGCAAAAGAGATGACATATATCATCCTAAATTAGTCAGGTAAACTAGACTTATAAATGAACTAAATCGATTGTAAAGTTTCAGCCAGAGAGATTCTTGAATTCGTCGATAAATATCAAAGGACTCAATTTCCAGTTGATCCCTTTTGGGGCTGGTCCGAGAGGTTGTCTAGGGATCTCTTTCGCAATGGCAACTAACGAACTTGTGTTGGCAAATATTGTTCAGAAATTTGATTGGGAATTGCCTAATGGAGCAAAAGGAGAGGATTTGGATATGAGTGAACGTCCAGGTCTAGCAATCTATAGAAAAGTACCTCTTTTTTCTGTGGCAATTGAGTGCTATTTTTAATCCACATGAGTTTCACGCAGCATATGATGGAAACAGCGATTTGTACCATAAACTAAACGCAAGCATACAAATTCAAACTGTCCTCTCTGTGCTGCGTGTATTGTATTGAATATTTTTCATCCATACAAAAAATTAACTCAACTCAATTTGTTTCAAGCCCTCGAACTCAAATTTTTTTTATCCATACAAAAATTAACATTCGTCGGTCAAAACTAACTAGACTTTCGATATGGCTTATTGTACGCCTATGTGGCATGGCAATTAATTTTTTTGTTAAACTATGAGATTAAATATACATATGGTACCCGAACTTTGCTCGTTCTAAAACCATGCATGAAACGGATATTGTTCCAAAACAACCCTCATAAAAACCTTATGACAAACACCTATTGCCCTATCTTAATCATTTATTGGCATATTGTTCTTCTCTATATTTTGAACAACATATTTTCTTACTACTTTCTTAACTTCAATCAATTTTTCATAAATGTTATTCTCAATTTTAATTGCGGTTTATGGTCTTATGGATGTCTTGATATGAAATTCAAGAAACTTATACCTAACTTTATCTTCAAAATTGCCACTTATCAATTCATAATACGACAAATAAATTATCCTAATCTTTTTGATTCCCACTTAAATAGACTTTCTCTGTACCCATTCCAAATTCCGCGCATGCTAATTGAAAAGTCAAATCACTATCCTCATAGAAGATCGTTGTCAAAATCACATAAATATCTCATCCTCATCTTCAAAATCAATAATTTAATAAGGTAAAACAAGCTCTCAACCTTAGGCCAAATAATTAAGAAAAATTTACAAACCTGCGGTTTAAGTTTTTATTTCAATAATCAGGATGGATAAATTTTATTTAAAAAATTAGGTATCAACCCACCCTACCTCATTCCACACTAACTACCATCCCCATTTATACATCTAATCGTAACCCTAATTCCCATTTTCACCACTACAAACGCCATTGGCTGCCGCTGCCGATCACCACTTTCCATCACGAACGGTGGAATCACCTCCCAAACACCACTACTGACCTACGATTGTTCCCATAATACCACTTGGGGTAAAAAACCCGCAAAAAAGGTTTTGGAGTCACGAATCATAAATCTTGAATCCGGCCATCGTCGGTGAGACCCATCGTCGCGGCCTACACTAATGGCGTTGCCACTAATCTAGCCACGGGTCTTCATCAATTGGACCAGAATGTTTTGTGAAACTTCTGTGATTTTTCATAGGTGGTTTATCAATCCGATGGTAGATTTGAGATGTGTTAAAGGTGATGATGATGTATTTGTGGTGGATTGAAGGTGCAGGTGATGGCGGTGACAGAGGTTTGACCATGGATGTGGTGGGGGATTTGAGGTGTGCTGAAGGTGGATGTGGTCGTGGTGATCGTGGTTTGACTATTGGAGGCATCAGTTAATTTGGTAATTTGTGACTCAATAAAATGTATTATTTGTGATTAAAATATGTAATTGTGACTTACAGATCGTATCCTTGTGACTATGACATCGAGTGACTTGTGGCTATAATGTGATTGTGACAAAAAAATTGTTACAGGAATCGTGATCTGATTAATTAAATTACAAGTTATAAACTTTTATTAGGGGTCACAAAATATGATCACCTGATTTTTGAAAAATTTTTATTAAGTTTGTTATTTTTGAAAATGTCTTTTGAAAATTTTGTAGATATTTAGCCATGTTTGGTTTGGATTAAAATTCAATTAAAATCTCAAGTTAAAATTAACAATTAATTTTAACCACACATTTCATGAGATTTATAATTTCTCAATCACAAATTTCATCAAATTTTATTAAAATCTACTAAAATTTTGATTTTAATCGACTTAATTTTTCAAATCATTAATATAGACCACACTAATAAATAATAATGGGCTTTCAATGTAACAAGCCCATTGTGAGAACAAAATGGTTTAATGGAAATAAGCCCCATCAGCTTCACTCGGAAGCCCATGATCACCAAACTCGAACAAAATCAAGAATCAAGTAATCTACAAATGAGAAATTAGCGAGTAAATATTTGTAACGGCAAGGAACATCAGTGAGTGATTGGAAGGATTTATTTCCACCGTAATTCCAAGACGAATGTGACTGTAATTCATCGACACCATCAAACCTCCGCCGCAGAAAAAACTCAACCTTCCTTGCCTTGAACATTAATTATCCAACCACACTCGCACGTAGTGAATTTCAATTACAGTTTCGGGAGAGATTTACATACATGGAAAGTCTAAATGTTATATCATCGGCTTCAACGGCAAAACCAAGAGTTTCTTTTCAACAATTTTTCAAAAAATCAACATTCTTGAGGCCTATACCACATACCCTAATTCCCCATCACACTTCCAATTGGAAAATCTCTCACCCCATTTTGAAGGCCCAGCAGGTAATTTTATGCCTCCTGTTATATTCATATAGACACATAAAATTTTATCATACGGGTATAATATTTTTTGGGTCTTATGGAATTGGAAGTTCTGAAAAGTTAAAGTTGTATAGGTTTTTATTTTTTTTTTTGGGGGGGGGGGGGGGGAGGGTGGAGGGGATAGACATTTTTATTATAAAAAAAAAATAAATTTATACCTTTTTAAGAATATATGAATAAAATGGTTATTGNTCAAATGCTTGAAAGCAAGAAACTTTTTGTTTAAATATTAAGAATGGTTAGATTTAAAATGCATTTTGATTGCCTCTTCTAGTCTGAGTTGAAAGATGGATCAGACACGGTATCTAAAATTTCTGAAGGAGATGCACTCAAAGTTAAAGAGTGGGAAGTGGGGATGTTCCGAAATGAAGTGGCTGCAAGCCAAGGGATAAGGATTAGGAGACGGCCTCCAAGTGGACCTCCTCAGCATTATGTGGGTCCTTTTGAGTTTCGCTTGCAGAATGAGGGTAACACCCCACGAAATATTCTTGAAGAAATTATATGGCATAAGGACGTGGAAGTAGCACAGGTACAGTTGAACTGGCTATACAAGGAGGTTTTCTTTTCTATTTTGTATTTATTTTGGGGATTGATTTGTAGATGAAGGAGAGAAAACCACTTTTTACGTTGAAAAAAGCACTTGACAATGCTCCACCTGTTCATGATTTTATCGGAGCTCTTAAGGGAGCAAATTCACGAACTGGATTACCTGGTCTGATTGCTGAAGTGAAAAAGGCCTCTCCAAGTAGAGGAGTTCTTAGAGAAGATTTTGATCCTGTAAGTTTGCAATTTTAATTGGCATTAGACGTGGACATGTATTTACTTTCCTTGCCCCTGGAATTTGGAGGATTTATTTATGATGAAGTGATGTACCTTTTTCAGATTGAATACCATATATTTCAATAAGCATGATCAGGGTACTAGCTGATGTAAATATTGCAGAAAATTATGTTACAAGGGGTATAACTGATTCTTTTATTAAATTATTATTGTCTTGGTGGCATCATCATTGTGGGTGTTCTGTGTGCAAGGACTTTCTATAGTTTTAGAAGAAATTTCTTATCTTTTTTAAGAAAGTAAAAGCTAAAAGGTGAGGCAATACTTATTTCTGCATGTGTACATCAAGAAATTTAGAAGAAAGAAAAAACTGCACAGCAATGGGAGAAATATCTTTAGTATGACAAACTTCCAGCAAAAAAACTTTGACTTCTTTTTACTCTGTATAAGCAACAAAAAACACGTGCTTGAAGTATCTATTGCATAATGATTCTGGGCGGAGTGTCAGTATTGAATTCAATACAAGAATTAACAGCATTAGGTCCTCCTCCTCCAACTTAATCTAGTTCAGTGTGATAATTGCTGTCAGGGACAAGTAATCAAGGGTGTGTTGGCTTATACATTAGATGGGTTTAAGGATACTGAGATGAGGGGAGGTCATGATTTGTTGAGAAGTTAATTTGAATGTTCATTACTCCAAGTCCAACTTGACCACTTCTGGTGTGATTATTTATAAATTTAGAGTAATTTATAACTATGCTATTTTCCTTTCTTTCCCCTTTCTGATGCATGTTTGGACGTTTCTTAACATGAACTGTTTACACAGTGGCATTTAAAGATGATAATAAAGATTCTGCTTTCTGGAGGCATTTGCTCCAAGTATAATACGTTTTGTACAGTTCTTTCACAACCTTCGAAGACATCCTGGAGAAGCTGTTCAACCTCTATACAGTTTTCCTACAAATCTTTCTGTAGAGTGTTGGAAATTTCTACCACTATATCATTCTTTTGAATTTTTCTCTCCACAGGTTGATATTGCTAAAGCTTATGAAAAAGGTGGGGCGGCATGCCTAAGTGTCTTGACAGATCAGAAGTATTTCCAGGTAAAAATCAACTTTTTAGTACTCTCGAACTTTTGCTTCCAGGAAATATTGCTATGCCGATAAGGTATTTGTTTCAAGGTATACTGGTTCTTGTTTCACTGCAAATTAACATTTTCACTTCCTCGCTCTTCTGTAATAAGGGAAGCTTTGAAAATTTAGAGGCCATAAGGAGTTCTGGAGTAAAGGTATGCCCTCTTCCAATATTTTTTGTGCCTTGTAGCTCAAATTACAAACTTGACATCTCTGTTTCATAATTTCTTTACTGACTTTGTACAATTTATGTGCAGTGCCCTCTACTGTGTAAAGAATTCATAATAGATGCTTGGCAAATCTACTATGCTCGAACCAAAGGTGCAGATGCAGTTCTGTTAATTGCGGGTGTTTTACCAGATCTTGACATCAAATACATGACTAAGATATGCAAGTTGCTTGGGTTGGCAGCACTGGTTGAGGTTTGGCTATTGCTCTTTTTCTCGTTAGTATCTCTAGCATAACACCCATTTGATTAGAGATAAAGAACAATTGATGATGTTTAAGGCCCATAAGTTGCCTCTAATAAAATATTCCTCATCTTCCATATTGTTACTGAATTCATTGCATTATCATCAATATACTTGACAAATTTTTTTGGTCACACGACCATCTTTGAAATTATGCCCTTGTTTGGGCCCCATTTCTTAAACGTAATTTTTTCCTAAATCCATTTTCAACCACATATTCTTCCAATAAAATAATTTTATACGTAAACCCAAATATTTTCCTATTTTGTAACCACACATTCTCCATAGATATCACGTTTCACAAAATTTATTCTCAAAAGATCTCTACCAAACAGGCTATGTTTATGCTTTGTGAGCACGTCTGTCTAAGCTTTAAAATAAAAAGTAAAAGTTACTTCTAAACATGTTTGATAACTTAAAGTATAAAAGTTACTTCTTTTCATAATAACTCTAATTTTTATGTCAAAATGAGTATTTTAATAATTTCCAACATTGCCGATAAGAAAGATCACTTATTTTAAAAGTTACCCATTTAAGTTACTTTTTTAAGCTTAGCCAAACATTATCCTGGTTGCTAAAGAAGTTATGTACGTGTCTCAAGTTCGTCTATTTTTCTATGCTCTTACAAAATTCAAGAAAAACCTTTCTTACGTTATATAATGCTAATTTTCTTCGTCTTAGGTGAGTCCTGCACGTGCTTGCTTGGATTTTTATTGTTAAATCATATAAGGCTGAGTGAAATGATATGTTATCATCTGAATAATTGCAACTCTTGACCAGTACTTCGTCTTCTAGGTACATGATGAGAAAGAGATGGATCGCGTCCTCCAAATAGATGGGATTGAACTTGTTGGCATCAATAATCGAGACCTTGGTACTTTCTGTCTTCAATTAATTGTGTAAAGTTATCCCCTAATACTGCACCTACATGAAGTATTTTGGGTTAAAGACACTGTCAGTCACTCAACTTACAGTCAAGTTTCATGTTAGTCACCAATGACCAAACTTTATTGTTTTAAAGTGGTAGTGTAAATGGGCTTTTTAGTTCATTTTGGTTACATAATAACATCACTGACTTTTTCTAACGGAATATGTGACATGGCAGATGACCATCTGACGTGGCATTAATATGGAGGTCTTCCATGTCATACATTTGGTTAGAAAAATTATCAGAATTTAATTAAGTGTCCCAACTGAAACAAAAAACAAACTTCAATGGCCACTTCGGAACAAAATAAAGTTCGGTAACTAACATGAAACTTCATTTTATGTTGAACAAAGTATTTACTTACTTTACCTCCATTTTATAGTTTTAGTGCATTTGTGTTATTTTTGTGTTTTAGCTTGTGGGGGAGATTTATTCATTGGTAGTGTTGATGATTGTAGTGTTGATAATTCGTAACCAGTGAACAAATTGGGAATAATATCACAACTCATTCAGTCTTTTGGATGTTCAGTAGACTCCACTCATGAGGATAGAGATCTATTATATGAAAAGTGTAGTGTGTTCAAATCATTGTTGACTTTGTTGATAAGAGAGTTCACGTCGGGCAATTTGCAGAAACATTTAAGGTTGATATTAGTAATACCAAAAAGCTTCTCGAAGGTGACCGTGGTGAAAGGATCCGTCAGAAAGGCATAACAGTGAGTAAACTATCCTAGCATCATCAGTACATGAATCTTGTTTTGCTAAGCTTAAATGGTTTACTTATAAGTAATGAGTAAACTTTAAGTAAATTTTTTATGAATTGGTTCGAGTTAAAAATGAGTAAGTTATTTATTTTGACACAATTGTTTTTATAATAATTAGTAAGTATCTTTTTAAACTTGAAAAGTAAGAAAATGTAGCATATTCAAAAATGTTTGGAAACAAAAAGTTGCTATAGAAAGCAACTTTTATTCCTTTTAAGCTTAGCCAAACATTTATCATCTCTTTTTCCTTTCTTAGCTAATTATGTTCAATCTACATCATTTCCACCTTGATAATATCGTGTACCTCTAAAATTCAATTTCTCAGGTGGTTGGGGAATCTGGACTTTTCACTCCGGCTGATATTTCCTATGTACAAGAAGCTGGTGTTAAAGCTGTAAGTAGTAACAATTAGTAACTTTGCTCGGCTGGTTTAGAATCTTTTTGGGAAATATACCCTTCTTTTCAATCATTTGTTATCTTATATTTGGTGCTCCTAATAATTTTTTTTTCAAGGACGACACTTTAAGAAACAACCAACTTATTTTGCAGTTTTATTTCATTTGTTTCTCTCCATTAAATAGCTGTTTCTCGAAAATCAGATTGACCCAATCGATTCTACCCAAAAAGGGAACAGGCTCAGGAATGAGACCGATTATAGATTTAGAATCGTCTCTTACAAAATTGGGATGAAGCCTGGTCAGCAAGCGGCCAGTTCATTGAATTGGGCATTGGTTGATCAGATTCTTGGTTGCATTTCCGCCTCCTTTTTTCCAAGTTTGTTAAGGAGTAATCCAACCTTGACATATATATCTCCCTGTATTATTATGAATATTATTAACATCATTGAACTTCATTATTTGGTTATTGATACAGATGTGTGTGTATTTCTCCATTTATTAATATTTAGACATCTGTTTCAACTCTGGCTGAATTTTTTACCCTCGACTCTTTGCCTTTTTTGGGTCAATGCTCAAGTCGGGGTTAAAAACATTGCAAAGTCGTAAATGGTCCAGAGGAGGTTTCTTTGGATGGATCCCCGAGTAAGCGTGTTGACATGCACATTTAAACCCAGCTTTTAAATGATTCATGTAACAGTACTAGTAAAAGGACTTGGTTGCCATGACATTCCACACTTGACCACAAAAATATCATTTATCCTATGAAGTTTATTACAACAAGAGTTTTATCATATGTGGCTGGGCATGGATTCTGTATCTACTGCTTGGGCTCAGCACTTATGAGTAACACATTTTGTTTATGCAAATTTGAACTAACAATATTTCCTTGTCATTTCTACAGGTGCTGGTTGGGGAATCGATTGTTATACAGAAAGACCCTACAAAGGGAATAACCGAACTCTTTGGTAAAGATATCTATTGATTATGGAAACCGAACTTTTTGTGGCTCGCCTTTTGAATCATACACTGCGTATTTTTGTTTGGAAGTGTCAAAACATAAGCCTCAAAAAATTTGTGCGCATATTCTGTTATGGTGTACTGAATTTGTCATTATTTAGTCGAAAATTATATATTTGAGGAACTGTCGAATTGAAGAAATTGTTATTTAGTTGTTCATTTCAATGTTGTCCAGTGTTGAACATGATTAAGGAAGAGGTAGTTTGTTGCAGCGCGAAAACCTGAAGAACGCGAAATTTTGGAATCCACCAAATTATAAAAAATAAACTCACAAATTTATTAATTGAAGGTGATGAAGACAATGAATTAACCCTTATTTATAAGGGTTTACATGAAAATCTAGTTTAAGTAAATTAAAATTGAAAAAAATTCAAAATAAATTAAATGACAAAAATAGTACCAAAATTTTAAATTCAATTTTTGAGTTCTAAACTAACTCGGATGATCAAAATTTAACGTATGTTATAGCGGAGCAGTGAGTTTTACTCATCTCGTCGTTCTCTTTTCGAAATGGTATTATGAGCCCAGTTGGAGCTCGATTGTCACAACTACAATACTACCTTTTTTTTCCTTTTAAGTCCAATTTTCATTTAGTCATCTATTCTACATCATAGTTCATGACAAATTTAGTTCAATATTGTCGGCTCAACAACTTGACATTTTGCCAGTCATATGAATCTTCTTGAACATTCCATGACAGTCGACAATTTTCTTCTGTTTCTAGACTACAAGCATCAACATCTCTGTTTAAAATATTCTTCCGTTCGGTGGAATTAAGATTGTTTTTAGAGAGTTTTGGATAAGATTTATATTTCCTGCATGGTGGCCATAGCTCAAAATATAATACACATTATCTTTGTCGAGTAGTTGATTATTCCAAGTTTTATACAAAATTCATAAGCAAATGTATGAAAAGATTTGAGGATTCAAACTTGGATGGCACCTTTTCTCATTTCAAATGTGAAAGAACTTCTGAAATGTTTGCCCAATCGATAGAATCAAGAGTTCAATTCAGTTTTGACGAGAACCGGATTGAACCAATTACTAACAACAGTTTCATGTATATTTTATGAAATCGATAGTAGTTGATAAGTGTAGTTTTTATATTTATTCGTGACGCTAAATCTTGACGTTTTATTTTTTTTTTGAATTAAATTCTAACTAATTTATGTTATATTGTATTTTGTAGGTAAAATTTTATATTTAATGAAAAATTAAAGAAAATAATGCAAAATAGCGGAAAATGACAACATTCAAAGTACGAGGACTAAGATGGCATGAGCTGCACAAATAAAATTGTTTTAAAAATCAACTTGCATTACACAAAAGAATTGAGAATTTGGAAAGAAGAATTAATTTAATTTGGAATTGAAATATACTGGACCTCAACTTCGACTTTTAAAATTGGACTAAACAAGAGTTGCAATATATATATTAGAGATACGCAAGCGGAAGGGGAGGATGATTTTTATTCACGCACAAGTCGCAGCAGAGAGAAGAATAAAGGTGTTGGGGGCCCCTCGGAGAACATCCGAGTTGGTGGAACAATTGTATTTGTGGGCTCGCAACCCCAGCGTGGAGAGTTCGATTTCTAGAAGGCACGACTCTTGGAAAAGAGATTTTCTCAAAGGCAATGTAATGACTGAAAGGCAGTGAGGAGAGCTCTCTTGGAGCCAGAAGTATAAGCAGTGCAGGAACCTGAGAGCCAACAAAAATGTAACCCGCTGTTTACCTCCTTGAGTCGCTGAGGGGGCCGGTGGTTAGAAATCCAAGATTTAGTCTAATTAAGTTGAGATATCTAGGTATTCAAAAAAAAAAAAAATAAAGGTGTTGGGAAGAAAGAAAAATAAAAAAAAAGAAAAGAAAAAAAAAAGAGGAGAGAATATAAAGAGCTTGACAAGTCAAAGATGGTGGGCTGCTGAGTATTCTTTCATATACACACATACAAACAGGCGGCTGGAGGAAAGTTGCAGCAATTTATTATTATACAAAACGACATATATATATATACAAAACGATCATAGTTGCCGACAACTACTCTGGGAAGAGAAAGGAAAGTAGCTGAAATCGAAATATATATATATACAAAACGATCATAGTTGGCGGCAAAAGCAAAGGAGGCCGCTTTAATTAGAATTAATGTTTCGTCAATTTTTGATAATATTTTTCCACTTTTACATGTTTAATTTCAACAATATGAGTGACTAAATAGTTTTATTATTAGGATGTATGATATAGTTTAAGGTTTTTATTATATGTTTAATTTCAAAATTTTCATGATATTTTAATACTTGTTAATTAATTATTATATGTTTAATGCTTTAATTGTTTGCGCAACAATTAATTGATTTAGGGATAACATTGGGACCGAAAGGTGATATATAATTTTAGCTCTTTACAATAATTAATATAGACGTTATAAGAGATCGAGAGATAATTATAAACTATGCGATTTTTGTTTAATTCATGTAGATAAATGCGTCCATATGCGTGTGAATTTATATAGAGATATAATAAGTTCGGACATATGAATATAATTAATGTTGCTTAATAGAGATCACTAACTATATTAAGTTAATCCGATCGTTATCCCGTAAGAAAAGATGATTGAATAAATTGGAATTAAATGTATGATAAATAACTTAAGTGAAATCGAAAATTCTAACGGTCCAATCACATAATCTTATCTATAGTTTTAATTTGAGTTTGTTATTTTATTTATTAGAATTTCGTTTAGAAAGTAAAATTTGATTTGATCATTAGTTATCATTTTAATTTAAATTGAAGTTAGGTTAATTTAAAAATTTATTGGAGATAATAGTCTCTGTGGGGCGATATTCGAACTTAATAAATTCACGAACAGTAGTTCCCAAAACAATGTCACCCTTCATTTCAAACCAGACGAGTACAAAAATAGTTGGATAGTAAAGGCCAAAACAAGCAAAAATAAAAGATGGGATATTTGTTGGTAAGTAAGAGAAAAGTCGAGTGACTATGAGTTAAAAAGTAAAAGAAAAGAAGATAATATGATCGTCTTGTCATATATTTTGTTTATTCCCGTCATCACTAATGTCTCCCGTACACTAAACAAGAATAAATGCTTAACCTATGTTTGGGTTTCCATTTTTACTAAAAATATTCTTTTCAAAATCGAACTTTAATTTTAACAATATATTTCGTAGAATCGTATAATTCTTTTTCGATCATCATGTTAAATGCACCTCAAGTTTGATATCACTTGAGTTGATAAATTTTTGTACATTGATTTAGCAACCCTTTTTTCAATGAATGGCCAAATTTTCTGCAGCGCACGGGATTGTCAAAAAAAAAATTGTTTCTAGTTTCTACCAGGACTACATTATTTTACACAAACAGTCTTCAAGCGGTTTGTAAAGTCACCTACCCTTTCCATACTTATCCTTCACGATCACATTCGAGGAATCCTCTTTCAGTTATTAACTTCACACCCATAAAAAAAATTCTCGCTCAACCTTCTGTTCACGCCAAGAATCTGTGTAATCGCCGGACTGGAAGTAGTAAAAGTGATCGATCAGAAACAGAGGCTAAAATGACTGTCACTGCCATTCCATGCATTAAAGATGGTTCACTTGTGATCAATGGGAAAGTTTTATTGTCTGGAGTTCCGCCAGAAGTCACTATTTATCCTTTAACTGCAGCTGGTTCTTCATCCTGTTCATCTGCTGCTTTTCTTGGTGCAAGTTCAAGTATACCCAGTTCGAGACACGTTTTCTCTCTTGGAGTTCTTCAGTGAGTTCAAAACCTTAAGAAAATGAGATAACATTTTGAATTTTTGTTTTATGCAATTGAAGATTTCCATTCATGGGCTGCTCTGAGCACGATATACCAGGATCAACATGAAAGTGATCAAAGTACAAATGGTTCTATGTTAATCTCCTTGTTAAAAGGAATAAACATATACGTTAATTATTGTTTTTGTTTCTTTAAAAAAATCTGAATTTCATTGGATAATCGTAGAGCGTTAGGTGGAAGGATTAGGTCTGATATTCAAATTTACTTTTTTACTGAAGCATGTTTTGGAAGTATTTATAAACTATTTAAATTACCAGATTGATATAAATGAGTGGTTGATAAGTGAATAGTGTTAGTGGACCTTGAAAGCTAAAATATATATTAGCAGCATAGATGTTTATTCATCACTCATCAGGATGCATTTTTAGATGGTTTAATGGAAGTTTACATGATACTAATTTTTTGAAAAGTTTATCGTTGATAGCATATGAGAATTGCAGGGAATGCAAGTTTATGTGTCTCTTCAGACACAAAATTTGGTGGATGATACCACGTTTTGGGAAATGGGGAAGTGAAATCCCAATTGAAACTCAGATGCTTCTGTTGGAAGTGAAGCAAGAATCTGCAGTATATGATGATGATTCTTCACGACAATCTGTGGACAACACTTTCTATATCTTGTTCTTGCCCGTATTGGAAGGACAATTCAGAGCATCCTTGCTAGGGACGCCTGCAAATGAGCTTGAGTTCTGCGTTGAAAGTGGTAAGTTGTCTCAGTTCTAATACCATAAGCACACTGCCGTTTCTTGAATATATCGACCTAAATATTGGTACTTTAGCACTTATCTTGGGATTTTGTGACTCATTTTTGCTTCAGGAGATGCTCATGTCCAGACTACTCGGGTATCAGAATCAGTCCTAGTAAATTCTGGGGAGGACCCATTTGAACTCATCAAGAACTCCATCAAGTATGCAATGTTTGGATATAAATTTAGATATCTATCTCTATTTATAAACCTAATTGCTTAAACAAGGCGAATGAATAGTGACTTCTTATAATATGTTTCTGTGTGCAGGATACTCGAGAAGCACATGGGTACTTTCACACACATTGAACACAAAAAGGTAAAAACCTTAAGAAATTTTAACAGGGTCCTAGTAGTCATGATATGAATTATTGTTTTAATCTGAATCACTTGCTTCTATTTGTAGAAACCTGTACATTTAGACTGGTTTGGATGGTGTACGTGGGATGCTTTCTACAAAGACGTTAATCCACGAGGCATTAAAGAAGGTCTTGAAAGGTACCTCAAGAGGGTCTAAAATTAATAAAATTAGACTACAAGTACATATTTGATATGCATTGCTCGACTCAACTCAAGTCTATGACAAATAATATTATAGCTTCCTTTTCATTCATAATATTGTTTATTATCCAATCTTCTGTACCTTACATGTCTCTGTCCATTATATCTAATATATATGCTCTCTAACAGCTTTATAGAAGGAAGCTGCCCACCAAAGTTCTTGATAATTGATGACGGATGGCAAGATACATTTAACGAATTCCAGAAGGAGGGGGAACCATTTATTCAAGGAACAGAGTAAGTAAATCCTTTTAATGGACTGATACCTCTTTAAGACAATGTTGTTATTTCCCCTTTTTATTTTTAACTTTGTTGTATTTTCTGGTAACATGCAGGTTTGCTAGTCGATTCAACGACATCAAGGAAAACAGCAAGTTTATAGGCTTAGGAACAGACTCATGCACTGATCTGCACGAGTTTGTTGAATTTGTTAAAGAAAAATATGGATTGAAGTACGATTTAGTTTTGAAAGTTGTTTTCTTCACAACAGTTTCCTTGCTGAAAACTTTTAACACTATCGATTCATGTAGATTTGTTTACGTTTGGCACGCCTTGGTTGGTTATTGGGGAGGACTCTCTCCATCATCGGAGAAAATGAAAAAGTACAATCCAAAGATATCATATCCTATACAGTCTCCCGGCAATGTTGGAAATCTTCGAGACATAGCCATGGAGAGTTTGGAAAAATATGGAATTGGCTTAATCGATCCACAGAAAATATATGACTTCTATAACGATCTCCATAGCTACCTCTCACATTGTGGTATTGACGGAGTCAAGGTGGACGTCCAAAATGTCATAGAGGCACTGGGCATGGGCTATGGTGGACGAGTCGTCCTCACTAGAAAATATCAAGCAGCACTCGAGGATTCCGTTGCAAGCAATTTTAAAGAAAATAATGTGATTTGCTGCATGAGTCACAACTCTGACTCCATTTACAGGTTCGAACACTTCTTTTTACTGACCTTGATCAGCCATTTTCATGAAGTTGGAGCAAAGTTTCTGATTGATTGTAATTTTTTCAGCTCAAAGAGATGTGCAACTGCAAGAGCATCAGAAGATTTCATGCCATGGGAACCTATGTATCAGACTTTACATATTGCTTCAGTGGCTTATAATAGCCTTCTTCTAGGGGAGATTACAGTGCCAGATTGGGACGTGTTTCAGGTATGGTTTCAAGAATTGCCTTGTCTCCACTCTTCAGAGGCCACTTCTTTTGAACCACCTCGTCTAAAATCTTGAGGGGTTACAAGACAATTAATATATTTACTTAAATTACGTCTTCAACATGTTCCTTCACGAGCATGCCAAATTCATTTTTTCACTATGGCTCTAACTTTATAAATGGGCAGGCAATAAGACTTGAACTTGGGGACCTCTGCATTCTGCTACCAGATAACAGAACTACATTAAGCACTACCACACTAAATTTTTCCTAAAATTTGAAATTTACAAAACATCTAAGAAAGGACTAATGGACAAGGCTGATTATGTTTTGCTGCTTATGTTCTCGACCAATTTGGAGTTATCACGACCCCGAATTAAATGTAAGTTCTTATGTACTGAGAATGTGCATTGTGTATTGTTTTAGAGCCATCATGACACGGCTGAGTTCCATGGTGCAGCACGAGCAGTGGGTGGATGTGCAGTATACACAAGGTAAGTTATGAATATCGCTTGTCCTGCTGAAGAGTTTTTGATTTGCAACTTGTTATGAAAATCAACATTTTTTGGGATATCTATTACTACTACAGTGACAAACCAACCATACACGACTTTAAATTACTCAAGAAGTTGGTGTTGCCTGATGGCTCAATCTTGAGAGCTAAATATGCTGGTCGGCCGACTCGGGATTGCTTGTTTGTAGACCCGGTAATGGATGGGAAAAGGTAGCACGGGGAAAAAGTTGAATATTGAATTCTGTTTCATGTTACATTATATGATCTATACTCCATGAATTTCTGCAGCTTATTGAAAATTTGGAACTTAAATAAGTTATCTGGAGTGATTGGTGTTTTCAACTGCCAAGGGGCTGGAAAGTGGCCACTGAAAGAGGGATCGGAAAACATGTTCAAATCTCTCGTCTTATCGGGTCATGTGAGTCCTCTTGATGTTGATTTCCTTGGTGAAGTTGCCGGTGAAAATTGGAGCGGAGATTGTGCTGTCTATGCTTTCCATCCCGGTAGGTTCATTATCTTTTAAGTGCATGTTGGTATTGTTGTATTAGGTCGTAATAGGCAACATTTTAATTTGTTTATCGAATGTGATATATCTAATCCAACTCATTGAACATGTTATTATTTTATTTCGGCTACTCTTAACAGTTTACATTCTCATGTCATAGGATCTCTTTCTAAAATTCCCAAAAATGGTACGCTCGAAGTGTCCTTGCGCACGCTTGAATGCGAAATATTTACCATCTCTCCAATACAGGCAAGTAAACTGGCAACTCATTTGTCAACAGAGTTATCACTGTGCATCTGTGGGTACTAACGAGTATTAAATTACAGACTTTGAATAAAAATCTTCACTTTGCCCCGTTGGGATTGATTGATATGTACAACTCAGGGGGTGCGACTGAAAATCTATCCTGTCCGGATTCTTCGGGATGCAAAGTAAGAGTTAACGTGCGAGGTTGTGGCCGATTTGGAGCCTATTCTAGCAGGAAACCAAGCTATTGCACGGTAGACGGGAAGAAAGAAGAATTTACATATGATGTGAATAATGGGTTATTGATAGTTAAGCTAGGAGGTGAATGCAATGTCAAGGAGATAGATGTCTGGTATTAAACCAATTTGAAAATATTTTGAATTATTATTGAATTCTACATTAAGGTGGTTACTCCCGATTTGGACTGTTCTTTTTGATATTGTGTACTTGTGTTGTCATGTAATATATACGAGGTTCGACTCTTGATAAGACTTACTGTATTGCAAGTATTCTGTTCGTTAAGTGAGAACTTATTTTTTTGATACGTGTGAAATATTTTTTTTTTTTCAACTCAATTTTCTGGTGGTAATCATTTCTTCTTTTTTTTTGAGAGGTTAGGTTGTACAAGTCATAATTTAAAAATGATTTATTAGGTGCAAAATAATAACACTTCCAATGTGTTGAGAACATATGCGAATTTAATACTATTTGGAATGCAGCTATGCTACAATTGTTATAACACAACAATTCACTCGAAATAACTCTGCACCATACCAAGTAACCTGAAAGTGAAATCATTGAAAAGAGAGCAAATCATATTTATTAGAAATTATCTTGCACTTGGTATAATATTTTTCTAACCAAGTAACCTTATAAGGCTTATATTATTCTATCATTTTCTCCACCAATTATATGGTAGGTCATTTGAACCTATCTCTAAAATTATTAAACTCGAGCTGTTTTAGTTAGATAGTACAAACTATTAAGCTCCTGTTTGTTTTCCATTTTCTCTCTATTTTTAGAAAAACTACCATCGCTGCAGAGCCTCACTTTGTCGGAATTGTTGACTTCTATCTAACATTATTCTTGAAATTGGTACTCTAACGGTCACAAAATTCATTTTCTACGACTAAAAAATGGACAGCAAACAGAGGCTAGATACGACACCTCTTACTTCTTTTGATTGATTTTGTCAACGATGGGTTGATCCAAATTATAGTTGGTCTCAACACACGATTCAAAGTCTCAATGGGGGAAAACAAGAGATTTACACCACACCCTTGCCAAAGACGGGACGGAAAAAAAATATCATAAAGCCATCAAAGAGAAACCATTCAACAAAACTTCGCTCCTCTCCTCTCAGTAACCCGCAATCCTTATCCTCGAACCCCTAGAAAATCCCCATTTTTCTTCATTCTCATCCTCCTTTCCTGCACTCGCACATCTATACATATATATAAAATGTCTTGTGCTACCAAGCCTATAAATGGTTGCCTAATTTCAGTACCATCACTCTTCGCCAAAGAAAGAGCTTTATTTTCACACTCGAATTTCTCTCTCCCACTGAAACCCGTAAAAGGCAATCTCTCTTTGTCCACTCTCAAAAAGCGAACAACCCATCTGAGATTCTCTGTAATAGCTGCCCTGCAAGAAGAGAACAACCCAGTACTTGTTGAAGAACAAGAATTTCAAGGAAATTTTAACTGGGATAACCAAGAAACATCTGAAGGGGAAGTTGAAGTAGGAGAAGAGAGTGATAGGGTTGTGGAGGCTGTTGGGGATGCTGGAGAGGTCGATAGCTATGTGGAGCCACCTGAGGAAGCTAAAATATATGTGGGGAATTTGCCGTTTGACGTGGACAGTGAGAAGCTGGCTCAGCTTTTTGAACAGGCTGGTGTTGTTGAGATTTCTGAGGCGAGTTCTTGAATTTAGAAGGATTTTGGTTAGAGAAGATTGTTTATATGTCTGGTTTTGATTGAAAAGATTGGACTATTTAGGGATTTTGTAACGCTGGTTTTATGTGACGTGCAGGTTATTTACAATAGGGAGACTGATCAGAGTCGAGGGTTCGGGTTTGTGACGATGAGTACTGTGGAAGAAGCTGAAAAGGCTGTGGAAATGTTCCATCGTTATGTAAGTTTTCAACCTTTTTAAAATCATTTTCAAGAAAGAAAAAATGTTGAATTGCAGATGTGGATGGATATATGTTTCTTTGGTTTGTTATTTGAAATGGCGGTTGTGGTTTGTCTTTTGACAACGCACAAGTTATGATGAAACTTCAATTATGAATATATGGACTGATAATCTGGCTAGCGGTTGATTCTCAATTTAGAGATTGGACAGGCTAAAGTAGTAGGAAAAAATTTTATGTTCGAAGTATTATCTGAATCATGCCTAGGTTTAAATAGGTTTGGGTGTCTTAACAGTTTGGGTTCGTGGTTGCATTTCTTTCTCCATTATATCGGGAACACATTAAAATTAAGGGTAAAAGTAAAGCAATTACAACATTTTGCTTTGAAGTTTGATGCTAAAGCTTAGCTTTATTGCTTCTCTGTCTTTTTAAGATTGTATCACCATCTCCTCTTGTTCATGCCTTTTATTTGTTATACATGCCCAGTGATGAGATTTTTTGTGTGAGATATGGAAAATTTTTAGCTTCAAAAGAATAGCCTCTTCTACTCCATCCACTGTGTGGCATAATCACTACTGCCAACCACGGCCACCTTCATTGCCAGCATTGTATAAGATACCGTCAGTGTAGAGAGTAGCATAGTGGCATGAATGGTGCCAAAGGGGGAGGTGGTCGCAAGCCGTGGTGGTAGCCTGGTAGTTGTAATACAGCATGTTTAGAAAACTAACGTTTTGTAGTTACCTTTTTTTGCAACGAACTTAATTTGATTTTCGAAGTTACTTTTTTTTACTTATTCAAAATAGAGTTTTCTTTGCCAGTTTAAATGGATGTAATATGTCTCAGCTTTGCTATGTTCTTTCTACTATATATGTACTCAACTTCGTTTGTCTTTTCCAATATAAGGGTAGGGGGAATGCCAAACCCCTCATTCATGTTTATGCAGCTTGGCCTGAAAACCCTTTGGCTGAATTTGAATGGACTTTTTGAAAAAGTATAATAAGAAAAAACGCCGTTCGTCTTTGATAAAGTGCCTTCTACATCCAAGTTTAACCAAGTTTATGTAAGTTCATTTTATTTTTGGTCAGGATCTAAATGGAAGGCTCTTGACTGTTAACAAGGCAGCCCCAAGAGGGTCCCGCCCAGAACGTCCACCTCGAGTGTTTGAACCTACTTACAGAATTTACGTTGGTAACCTTCCATGGAGTGTTGATGATGGACGACTAGAACAGGTTTTCAGTGAGCACGGTAAAGTAGTAAATGCTCGTGTAGTTTATGATAGGGAGAGCAGTCGATCGCGTGGTTTTGGCTTCGTAACAATGTCAAGTGAATCTGAAATGAATGATGCCATCTCTAACCTTGATGGACAGGTAATGCATTTGTGGTATATCATCGTTGGAAAATACAATTCTTGAATTTTTTGAAATATTATTTATCTGATAAGAGTTTCTAAGGCCTATACAAACATATATATCTCGCAACGTAAGTTTTTACCATAGATTACACCATTTTTTATATATGAATGAGGGAAACTATTGCTTGTTCATGTTTAAAAAGATTAAATGTGATAGTGAGGCATTTTGTCAATGTAAGGGGAGACCTTGGTCTCCAAGTGCTATGAGCCAAGCCTTAACACAAAACAATAAAAGAATTCAAAAAGAACAAAAGTACAAAATTATACTTATAGTTAACCTTAAATGTCTAAAAATTCAATGATAAAAGTCTAATTTGCAACTGAAAACACACGATGGATAAGAAAAAATAGCAAATATCATTTTAAGAAAGTACTAATCACTTAACAAGACTACTAATCTAGACCTAGAACAAGTTAAAAAACTGTTATAAGACTTCTGTTGCTTTTAACTTTAAAAGGAAATTAAACGCAGACGAAAGAAAAGAAAAAAATCGAAAACAAGAAATATATGAAAGAAAGAAAATCAACAATCATTTGCCATAAAAAGTGGAAACTTCATTTGGGGAAGTCTTGTGAAGTAGAGGACCATGGCATGCACAAGCTCTTCACCTGTTTCACTTGTTTTCTTTTCTAATCTCTTACATTTTTTCTTTGTGTCTAGGGCCAAGTTGTGTCTTAAACAACACCAAAAAAAAATGCTTAAAATGTTTTTGTCTGTAAATAACCAGCCTGAATGGATGATGTCAGTAAAAAAAGATAGCTAGAAAGTGCAAGGGTAAGGAACCACTACTTAGCCGCCCTGAGACCTTATAGATGGAGGCGTTTACCTTAGTATTTCATGGCGTAAGCCTTGAAAAAGGGACTGAAATCATAGGCTTTGAACCTCGTAACGAATGCCTTATCTGATTGCACCTCAAGACGTAAGCCTTGTTAAAACACGCCTTTGTATGGTTTAGAATTGGGAGATTGAAATCGTCATAATAACTTCATTTTCTTTGCAGAGTTTGGATGGGAGAGTTATCAGAGTAAATATTGCTGAAGAAAGAGCTAGGCGCAACTCCTTTTGACTCGTATAAGGAAACATGCGACCTACATTTCATAGGTATTCGAATTGAGGATTGTAGCAGTTATAATTTAGTCAGCTGTCAATGGGTAAAAGTTTCTGTTGGTCGTCAACTCCATTTTGCACTACCCTTAATTTTGTTGCTTAAGCTGGTAATATATGGAGCTTATGGTTTGATTCTTGGGAAATCTGGAGATTTACACCTTGTTTTTCCAGTCTTAAGTTTTACTTTTTTTGCACTGTTCCTGTTAATTTTGTTTCTTAAGCTGGTAATTTATGGAGCTTATATTTCATTTGCCTTCCTTTTGTTCCCCTTTTAAGTTTTCCTAGTTTGAAGTAGAATTAACACCAATCTTTTGTCATATGCTAAGAAAATATATATAAATAATATTCAGATTTTCATTGAACTTCTGGCGAGCGATCTATTGGCTCATTGTTAGAGGAACCCGAAAAGTCAAATTCAGGCACAATCTAAGGATTACATATATATGGATTATCAAAGTCATTTGGTACCCTTTCTATTGTTATCAATGTTTGTTGGAAGTTGATCACTTACAACCAGTGTTCTAAAAGACTTGTCTAGGCGTCGTCTTATTGCGATGCACGGCGGAAACGTCAAGCTGGCTTGGCGCCTTATTTAGCGGTTAACGACAATTGGTAACCGTTAATGTGTGCCTTGGCGCACATTATTATCTTTTTAATTTTTTTTTTTTACAATTCTTTTAAGTTAAAATTTAAAGGTTGATCTACATTTGAAACTTATCTTCTTGTTAGAAACTTTTTAAAAAATGTATGAAGTTTTTATAAATCTATTTTTTATGTTTGATATGTATTATTTTTAATTATTAAATGATCATTTGATTGATTAAAAATTAAAATAAGAAAATGTCTTTTTACGGTTTTTTACGAATATGTTCCGCCTAAGCTTGACTTGTTCATAGCTTGGCTTTCACGCATCGCCACATATTATACATTTTAGAACACTACTTACAACTGCATGTCTTCATATATATTGAAATGCAAGAAATTGTCAATTATTTCAATCATTGGTCTCGAGTGATTCTTGTATTGTGTTCGTCGTCTCAAGATTGTTATTTATATCTATCCTATCATGAGTCGAAGATATGAGTCGCATTTAATTCATTGTTGCATTTATAGATTGAAACGAAGTAATGGATGTTTGCTAGGTTCTTGAAAATATTACCAAGTGCAGATTGTTAGATACACCTTATCTGCTTCGTTGGATAATTGAAGGCAAGCAAAGTTGGGAATTATAAAACGACAAACTCGGAATTCTATTCCTAACAAAAGCTCTCTACGGACTCAATAACTCAAAAGAAGACTCGGTGGCACTAGATATCCATGAGGTTTTTATGAACGTGACTCTATATATAGGAACCTAATATGTACGAGTGTTCGGGGGATACTTGGAACATTTCATTCTCAACAGAAGAGCCGATCTATCACGTATTAATCAATATTCAATTGGTTGATACAAGGATATTGACGCGAGATTTTTGCAAGCCGCTACTTTGTTTCTTTAGGCCAAGTTGCTTCTCTTTTTGCATTTTGACGTCAAAAATTGTGGAATGGAAGATTCTCTTACAAAACTTTAGCTGTTCGAAAATTTAAGCTCCAAAGGGTCACCAAAATGCAGCTTCCTTTCTTAGTGTTTGCGTTAAAAAGAGATCGAATGGTTCTTATCGTTGGGTAGCTAAACTCTCTAGAATAAATATACCTCCCTTGCACAGCCTACTAAGAATGCAAGAGTGCATAAGAAAAGAATATTTTATTTCCTTCTTCACTTGTTACTTTTGATGGGTGGGGATGGGGCGGGATAGAAATCTACACTAGAACCATCAAATGGCCACTCTTATGTGCAAATCTGTGTACCATTTTCTCTACAAGAAACTGAAATAGAAGACACATGAACAAAGAGTTACGTTATTACATGTTCAGAAGCACAGATTCCTACCAAACTCATACCACAACCCTTATCCCCGTAACTGAGCTTCTCGACTTGTCAATGGTACATAGCGAACAGATGTCTCACTTCGAATGCTTACTGAACCATCCGGATTCTTATCCACAACCTGCAAGTCCTGGAAAAGGTTCCCCACGGGGATCACCAACCTCCCACCAGGCTTCAACTGATCGATGAGTGCTTGGGGAATTTCTGGTGCCGCAGCTCCAACATGAATAGCATCGTAAGGTGCATACTCAGGCCAGCCCAGTCTACCATCTGTTATCATACCAAATCCATACAACCGATAAATGTTGGGTGACACAAACTGCCGTCACCAACTAATATTTCAGGATGCAACAAAAGACCATACACTACAAAAAAAAGATAGTCTTTCGTACAAAAACCTCGAAGATATCTCATTCAGCGTCAGGTTGAATGAGCTACCACAGTTTGTGGTGAACAGAATGGAAATATCTAAATAACTGAATTTAATAGCATTAGGACAATTCCCTGATATGTTACTTATTTCCTTACTTTGAGGTAAATAAGTTACTTATTTTGAAAAGTAACTCTTACTTTCAAAATACAGTATAGCTTCTTAAACTTGGCCAAACATGCTCATACAATACTGGTACACTAGTTAGGCTAGTAATTTGGGAATATCCAGAATGACACAAACGAAGCAGGATGTAATTAATTAGCCATATAGTCAACGATGACCTTGGTATTTTTCTTCAATACATTCACTTTCTTCTTGAAATATTCATAAATTATTGGCAATATGAATATGGTTTCCATAACACAAGCAATTCAAGTGTACAAGAATTATGCATCACCATTCAAGTAGTAACCATTCCGAAAGTTCTGTATTCTAAGTATCTTAATATTTTATGAGGTTCTATATGGTGGGTTTATCAAGCAATTAATAATTCTACCCCTTACCCTGTAGGGCAGGGTAACCTTACGACTACCCTAACCTCCTCCGTCCCTCAGGATGGACAAAGGGAATATCTACACGACATGGGAACAAAAAAGGAAATCATATCATTTTGTGCTGCATCCTCATCTTATAAACTACACCCTCACACCGTTAAATAAAAATAGAAAAGCTGCTGGAGAAAGGAACTCGCTCATTTTGCAAACTAAATGAAGAGCATGCTCACAATGTTAATATAGATAAAAAGCTGTGAGGCAATTTGAAACATACCACCAGTGTGCAGCACGAGGGATCCTGCTTTCAACAGCGGAGCTGCTGCACTCTTCTGAATATTCTGAAGAGATGATTCGACCAACTCAGGAATATGTTCCACCCCAACTGCACGGCCTTCTGGTCCAACCATGATAGCAAAGCATGCTGTCAAATACCCCGTTCCTACAAAAAGAGGAATCTCGTGTAATCCAGAAATCTGAAAAAGTGTGGTGAAGTTCGAAAGACCTCAAGAAAATAGCATTTCACAAAGAAATTTTCTTTGCATTGCTGGAAATATGCAGTCCACAATCATAATATTATCCGACTAAAGCGCTAACTCCTAACAACCTCAGTGGCACCAAGAAGATAAGTACAAACTTCACTGCAGTTTCCAATTGCAAATTTACTAGCTTGATACACCAATGAAATTGAAATTGAACTTGAAATGTAATTCAATATAACATCTTCAAATGTTAACACTTCTAGAAGACAGTAACATTTTACTGTATAACTGAAGTCACTGGACAAGTGGACAACAAGCTTTGGATTGCAATAACTTGGACAAAAGAATACCTGAACCAACATCCAAAGAATGCATGCCAGGCTTCAAATGGTTTTCCAACAATTCAAGGCATGTGGCATGCATATGAGGTGCAGAAATAGTGGCATTATAGCCTATATGCATGGGACTGTCCATATATGGTGAGGCATCCTCAGGCACAAACAAGGCCCTGTCAATAGTTTCCATTACTTCGGCTACCTTTATCGATCTAATTACTCCATAACTCTGCAAATGTTCTACCATTTTTTTGTTTTTATTGATTCTACTTCCAGTCCACAATCGCTGTTGAGAAACATAAACAATATTGAAGTAAGACGTAACATTAAGGTCCATCAGAAAATAAAGAAATCAAATGGCAAAATCAAATTGATAAATTTTGAGACAGTAACTTTCCCGATAAAATGCAATAGAGTTCTAGTTCAAGTCAATACTATCTCAAACACGTTCCTTCTGATAATCATTTCATACATTCTTCTTCAAGAAAACGAGACTATTCCTAAGTACAAAACAACATAAGTCCCTAATTAAACCAATGCCATTATTGCACTTCTATACCAAAGTTACATGCTCATACAGTTCCCAAACCAATCACAATCACTTCAAGCCAGGATCTCGCCACACAATCAGAAACGCTTTCAATATCCACCTCGATATATACAAGAATGAATACTTTCTTAAGGCAGCTCCACACTGAGCTATCACCGTACCAAATTTCTTATATCCCATTTAAATCTCAGTTAAAAATTCAATTATACACCGTCTATTTCTCCCTAATTTCACTTAAAACACAACGGAAAGCAATATAAATCGAATATATTCGAAGGCTTGGAAATTAAAACGATAGATATACAAACGCACAAGGCGTATGCAATAGAGACTGAGGGTTACCTCCATGCGAGAGAAGAGAGAATTCCCCGTGAAGATGTAAGTATTCGGGAGGCGAGAACGAAGTAAAAGAGCCGTCGCGTGGATTGCGGAGATAGGAAGCGATTGAGATAAAGGGACACGGCGGTGAGAATGGAGGTATCGCGGAGTCAAATATGATAATGATAGCTGTGTAGGCGCATGATAGCGGTAGCGGCAACCATACGCTATTACTGGGAGGAATAATCATGATTGAACTAATGACTGTACATGTAACATAATGGATAGACTGACTTATTGGTTTGGTCTTTAAATTTTTTTTTTTCCCTCAATTATTAAATTATTAATCGATTCGTGTTCTCTTGTTCTTAAATTTATGTTTGAACCTGTTTTTATAGCACAAAGTTAGGACTACACGTGAAAGGCATTCTTTTACTCCATCAGCTCTCTCTCATTTTCTTTAGTCTCTCGCTCTTTCGGTGCACGTGTATCTCACGTGGCTAAAGAGTTTCTTGGGCCCATTTGTCGAACAGCCCAACTAACTTTTTTCTTGCCAAAGTAAAATTTACTTTTAGAAAATAATTTCTAAATAGAGTCCAACAATATACAAGAAGGAAGATCATGATTCATAACATTTTTAATGTTATAGATAATGAATAAATGTATCACTTATTTTTAATGTATATCTATCTATCAGCATATTAAACATTTTGAGCTTATCTTTCTAGTTAGATATTCTCATTTGATAATCCAAGGTTTATCTTCTCTATTACTCTTGTGGAGAGACAAGGATGATATAGCTTTGACCGGAACTATGTTTCTCATGAGTAATTCTCGTTACATCATCTCTGATATGGTCGATTATGAGTGCACGAGGATATACGTTTACCAAGGCTTGTATCTGTGCTACCCTTATCGTGCCATATCTCGAGGACTCCAGAACCGACCATCCTCGAGGACCCCGAACCAAGCACATCTCAAGGACTTCGCCCAGACGTATTTCCGTGATCTGGTGCAATAGTCCTTGGGGTCTTCCATAGGCCTCGGGAATATATGAGTCCTCACGCTTTGTATCAATAAGTCCTCGAGGCTTTACTACCAAGTCCTCAAGCTACTGTCCTCTGCCATACATCATAGCGCTCAACAGGAAGATGGGTCCTACCCCACTAAGGACTATCCTAAAAACTAATTCTGGTGGGACTCTCATAGATAAGGACGTTATATCAACTACAGTCCTATCAGAAGTGAACTACACAGTCCTACTAGGACTCTACCACCTAGCTCTATAAATATGGGCACCTAGTTCAGTATTCAGGTACGTTCTACATTATTTTACAGCATATAGCTTTACGGGCGACGAGGTCATACCTCACCACCTTGTTTCAGGTACCGGAAGATCACGTTCGTGCTCATCAACGATCGTCAAGGTCGGAAACAGCCATGCACGATTTTTGGTAGCATTTGTCTCATTTATATTGTTGCACCTTCAATTTGAATTGCTTGGAGTAATTTTGTGTTCATGACCTAAAAAGTTCTTGAAAGCGTACATTTCAATTTTAAACTGAAATGCATGTGGACATTAAATGTTGATGTAAGGATCACAATCGACGTTTTCTGATGTTACATGAATACACCGTGTCAAATTTAAATATGAATTTTTAAAAATAAAATAAGAAATAATGGGGACTGGTTCGATGCATGGACCACGTTCCCCCCACTTTGAATTACTGTGGGGGCGGGGACATGGGTATGACATTTTACCGATAGTTAAATACCTCAAGTAATGATGGAAGGTGAAACTGCTGCTGCTGCTTTTTCTTCTTGTGTGTGTGTTCTTTCAATTTTTTTCTTTTTCTTTTCATTTGATTTATATATAATTTTTCTATTTTGACTGTTCGTATGTATCTTGAAGGAGCAAACAAAATATCTCAATAATATTTTAAATATCAGAATTGAAAGCAGCTGGTAATGTACAACACTTTTTATAAGCAACTTGCACAGCTTTAAATATGTGGATAAGATAGATTGACAAGCAACCACTCCATTCACAAACTATAATTACTACACCCATCATCTACTTGAGGTTTATCCAAGCTTCTTGATTATTGAGTAATGAACACCGAAATGGTACCTCCCCATCCTATCTACGAGGAAACGAGCCACTTGTAAATGTTGTCGGGGACAAGCTAATAGCTCAAACCCTCACCCGCACCTCACCCTATTCCAGCAGGAAAAAAGAAAAAAAAAAGTGACAGCAACAAACCCAACTTTCATTTACAAAATTAATTGCAATTCACCAAAATTTCTACTTTGGACAAGTATCCATATATTCTAGGTAGATTTTCATTTGGGCAATCCGAGGTCTCTCTTCTCTCTTCCTCTTGGGCAGAGACAATGACGATATAGTTTTAGCTGAGATCACCTTTCTCACAAGCAATCTCCACCTTGCGTCATCTCCTCGTTTGTTTTGCTGCACCTTCAATTTGAATTGTCTGAAATAACACATCAAATATATAAAAAATTTTGTACTCAGTAATTGTTAGCAGAAAGAAGATTTAGGCATTTTGTCCAATTCAGCTGTCAATTGCAATTAATCAATCAAATCGTTACGTCTGATCTGACAAGGAATTAGGCAATAGGACTCCTTTATGAAGATATTTTGGACAGAAAACGACAAACCATGACACAGTCAATGACGTTTCTATTCTTAAGCGTTGAGTGCCCTTACAATTGCAGGTGTCTCTTTCTCAGAAGAACATAGCTACTGGCAAACACTTTCTGAAGATATTTTTGCCAGAAACAAGAAGAAGATGGACAATGATGTTAAATATTATTAAGGGACTTAAATTGTCTAAAGAATAGAGCTCTCCTACAATAGAAGATGGCTCCTTTCCGAACATGTTTTGCCGAGAAACAGTGAAAAAGAATTTAGACAATGATGTTCCAATTCTCAAGAGCCCGAAATGGTCACACGAGCACCATTACATTGGACGGCGCCTCTTTCGGACAGTATCTGCAAGTGCTTTATTAAATATATTTTGGACACAAATCAACAAAAGAGAAAACAAGCAACGATGTTCCTGTTTTTAAGACCCCTAAATTGTCTCAAGAATCTAGCGCCTACAAGGAAGGATTCTCTTTCTTTTAAGCATGTTGCAACTCGCACAACTTCATAGAAAAAGACCTAAAGTTTGGACATATGAAACACATCTAGTCGACTTTTTGCTTTTGTAAAATAGTAGAGAAGAAAGAAAGAGCCACTTTCATTTCCTGATTTTCTTGAAAGGGCATGCTGTGTAGATCCCATTTTCGTCGCCTCTATTTTTCCGACTGATGTTTCCTTTTCTAATCATTCAATTTGAGATCTAATCCCATAAATCCAAGAGGTGATTAGAACTTCCAGCAATGTCTAAAATCATAATTAATTAGCACGTGATTTTCCTTAGATCTAAAATATGTTACTGCCATTGCAAGTATAGGAAAATCATTCAATGATGTAATATACCACTATTTCTCAAGTGCTATTACTAGTAGTATTAGTATTTTTCACTCTTTCTTATACTAAAGGATTTCACTTGGAAAAGAAAATATTCCGTACTAACGGATTCTGGTCCATAACCATGGGTTTCAATGCAAAAGATCTTGTAGCACTTGCCAATGAGATCCTATCGATTAGTATTTACGCAGAAGAAATCAGTTATAGACACCTAATATAATTCATTACGTTTTTCATGGACAAACCACTAGTATGTGATATTGGATATGACAAAAAAGAATAGCTATGTTTTCACCAAATTCACGAGAATACTGTTAATCCATAAGAATAAATTAAAGAATAATTCTACTTATACATAAGGAATTACATACGGATGAGTTGTCGAAAAGAAAGTGGGGAAGTTCTTTTATTGAAGAAATTCTGACCCAATTATATCTCACAACATCATCTAAATGTAATCTATTATGTACATGTAGTACAATTATAAATTAAATTGGGAGTTGGAAAGTCATTTTTACCTGCAGAGAGGAACCCTGCATTCCTCAGGCTTATCACAAATTGAGGAGTGCAATTGAAATAGCTGCCACATTCTTTTACACCGCAAACATCCCCCATTGACCCTCTTCTTACACGCTGCAAAATGCTTGATCAGAAGCTGGAGGCCGCGGCACGTTGAAAACTTGCTACATGGGCCTTTGTTCTTGCTCGGATCTATGTCATACGGTCCAACGCTCGTGCACCCTTCAGTACATATGTGCTCGAGACATTCCATTGCTTCACTTAGCTGTAGATACATCTTCTGCTCCTCTCTATTCCTCCTCGTCCTCTTTTTCCTCTATTAAGGACGAATTTAAATGAATATTACATTGATAAACAATTAAACTCAATATTTATCTTTCATTTACTAGTCTAGAACATGATAAATCCTATTTTTAAACATTAACAAACTAAGCTTAATTCTCAACATATTTACACTCTTATAGCGCCATCTTTTTTTTTTTTTCCCTTCCCCTCATAGCTGGTCCTAATCCCCGTAAGGAGGGCTACGGGAGATTGATAGTCAACGTAATATACTGTCAAGTTTCAGTGGCGACCAGTGTGTTTTTAACCTTATATATACATTTGAACAATAGTGTTTTGTTGGAGTGTATACCATTTCAGCTTCATCAATGAACTGCAGAATTTCAAGTTCAAGCCAAGGGTCATGATTCTGCAAAAACTTCCATCCTTCAGTCTGCTCAACGGCCTTGAAATTACAAGACAGCATTTTCATGCACTTGAGGTAAAGGTCAGGTGCATCACAAAGTCTAGCAAGTTGAAGTACATCCAACACGTTCTCAGTAGTCAACCGTCCTGCCAACTCCCTTGTACATCTCTGCTTTAGCTGTGGTACCAAGTACACGTGTGACAACGCCAGCAGGTGGATACCATACTTCTCCATCTGCTCCTCACTGCACCTGAATAAAAACCAAAATGGAAACTTTTTACACTGATTTTGGAAATATTAAATTTTGCAACGCAGAAATTTAATAATATGTAAATAATTGTGACTTGTGGCTTCTGCCACGTGTACAGTGAAGGCTGATATTTTATTAAGAGGCATATTTATTTAAGTTATGATTTGGACATGGAAATGAAGTTTTGACTATTGGAAATATTTTATATGCACCAGAATAAAAGCCAAATTGAAAATAACACCACTACAGTGAATTCCTTCAATATTGGAATCATTACATTCGCCACATCAGATAATAGTAATTAATTAACAAGTAATGACTGGCACGTGCCGCGTGATAGTGAATAGGAGTGCCTACAGCTGATATTTAATTGGTCAAATTTCAAATAATGTAATTCTTGTTAAAACATAGACAAAATCAGTTAAGATAGAGAATAAACTAATTATTTAATTAGTGTGTTTAACATGCCTCTTATATACAAAATTATCTTTTTCGTAAATACAAGACATGTCTAATTATTTATAAACGGGTAACAATAAGTATATCATCTCGATTTATCTTGCTTCACATTGCAAAAAAAATTCTAAAGCTAGTAAATTCTTTAAACATTAGAAAATCATTGAGTAGTACCATTTAGCATCACTGGTATTTAACATCGGACTAGGTGGCGGTGGTTAATGACAAATTCAATTAAATGAATTACATAATTCACCTCTAACTCAAACTATCACACAATGCCACATAAACTAGTGCACCACTAGAGTTAGATATCTCATTATTCATTAACTTAATGCTAAGTTTTAAGTCTTTTTTAGAATTTTGATGTACGGTGAATTACATCATCTAAAAGTTAGTATTATGTATTTGAATTTATTACAAATTGTATTTAAAACATATTAAGCCCTATTTGCATGGATAAAATTAGATTTTTAGTAAATTTTGATAAAAATTGATGAGATGTGTAGTTAAAAAGTTGTGCGTCTATGAAATATTTGGTTGAAATTAATAATTGACTTATTAAAATCTAGATTTTAATTCATGCGCTTATTAAAATAATTGTCAACAATCGGATTATAATAATTTACAAATAAAAGTTTAAATTATATATATATAAAAGAAATAAAGATTGGCGTGTGGATGGGGACTGACTTGGAGGAATAGAGAAACTGGATGAACACGGAAACGGCGTCGCATGGAACGCCGGGTACCGGAATATTCCCTTGGGAGCTCCGGTGCTTTTGCGGCCTTTCTATCATACCCTCCAATACCGGCGATGCTGAAGCCTACTTATTTTCCACAAAATCCCCAAAAAATAGAGTAAACAAACGATTCGGAATAAAATCAATGCATAGAAATGTATTCATTTTTAATGACTATTTTGAATTAAAATCATGAGATGAAAGCAACTGGATTTGAAATGAAGAAAAACCAAGTGAAAATTGCTTAATACAACAGCATCGGGCGAATCTAAACCGTAAATCCAGATATTGTTCACAAAAAGATGAATTATCGAGGGTTTTAATGCTAAATGGAAAAAAAAGATTTCAGAAAAATTAAATTCATTACCAGAATGTGCGAGTGTGCTGGGATGCGAAGCCCACCCGACGTGATGATTTCAACGTCGGGTACAGCCATTTCTCCATCGGCTGATAATTGAGGATTCAATTTCTCTACCATTTCGTCGGAAAAGCCCTGCTTCGTAACGAGTCTTTGCGCTACCGTTGAAGCTTGTCGCAGTATTTATAGACAGGAAAGTGAAGGTTAGCACCTGTGCCCACAAAAGCCACTCGTTTCAACAGAGAGTGCATTACACTCTCCATGATTTTCGAATATCAATTGGAGTTGTTATATAAACGCACACTATGCGAATGGACTTCTAAATATGTCAAAAATGAGATTAAATGACAGGTATGCCCTTGGTGTTTTGTATAATTTCATTTTTATCCGGTAGTGTTTGGGGTTGCCAAAACCGGGGAACAAATGGCCCTTGGAGGTTAGAAAGGGCATTTCTCTTTCCCATGGGTCATCCTAATCCTTATCACACCTTAACTTTCCAACTTGTACCAATTTGGGGCTCCACAAAGGCACCCTGTTTTTGGATCTGGCTTTGAGTCTGGTCCAATAGCACGGCTCATTAAAAAATTAAAAAGAAATGCCAAGTAAATAATCTTTCCAAACGTTGCAGATGAAACTCTTTTTGATGGTTTTCATCCACAATTTCGTCAGTTGACCAAAAATTTGACTTTGACTACATTATAATCAATTTCAATGAGAGTAAAATGATACTTTTATATTTATCACATTACATAAATAAATAGAAAAGGAAAGGAAAAATTGTACATTCTTCTTCCCAAATCCACCCACCCCAACCACGACTACCAACGGCTACATTCTTGTGACCCCGGCATTACTCCTCGACCAGATTGGAGGAGTCGTTAGAGGAGCTAAAACGAATAGCGAAGAGGCTTCAGCAAGAGAGCAACTCAGAGGAAGAATTGAAGATAAAAAGTGTTGGTGGAGCGAGGGATGTTAGGAGGCTTACAAAAGAAGATTCTAAGGCAAGGATCACTCTAGCTCTTTTGGGCATCATTTTGCCTCTTGTGGTGGCGCTTGACGCGGAGGATCCCACTTCTCAGACTCAGATCGCATCCCTTTATGCGTTGCTTAACCTTGCCATTTCCAATTATGCGTTGGTACCCTTTACTTTCTTTGCTTATACGTTTCACTTGTCTTCCTTTTCGTTTTGCTCATTTTACCTACATTATTCTTTGGACGAATTTTGTGTATTGAGAAAAATTCTCCAAGTCTAATGATGTCGTTTTCCATACATTCTAGTATTGTTTTGTGTTGTGTTGTGCTTTGCATTAATTTGCAGTTCCAACTGTTTTTATAGCCCCATTCTTGATATTGATTTCTCTTTCGGATGCAATCCCATTTTTGGTGGAAACTCTCAAAGATTTCAAAGACGAAATTAGTTCTCAAGCTAAACAGGGCGCTCTACAAGCACTCTACAATCTTTCCATCTTGCCTTCATATGTGCTTTTGATGCTGGAGACTGGTCTGAGACCACTTCTGTTGAGCAAGCTGTGTGATTAGATTGGGTGAGTTGGGTGGATTTGGGAAGAATAATGTACTTTTTTCCTTTTCCTTTTCTTTTTTTTTATTTAATGAAGTAAATATAAAAATACCATTTTACCCTCATTGAAATTGATTATAATGTAGTTAAAATTAAATTTTTGTTCAACTGACGACATTGTAGATGGAAACCGTCCAAAAGGGCTTCATTTGCAACGTTAGAAAAGACCAGGGATGATGACTGCAACAAATCAAAAGTTTGCTAATGTTTGAAAAGTTTGGGACTTTTGCTACAATTATCCCTAATATCAAAACATGGGATCCTTTCGAGTTTTGGCAAAATTAGACTATATAATGTACACTGATTGTTGTGCTTTAACTTTTAACCAATATTTTAAAAATTGACGTTAACATTAGTTCAAAATGTATAGGATCAAAACTCAATCGATCATCATATTGATGATAACAACTTAAATAAAAAAAAATGGAGGTTCAGTTAACATCTTTTTGTCATGAACAAGCAAAGAAATCGCCCTTTTTTTTGAAGCTACGCTAACATTTTGGTTCTCTCTCAAAGTTACAGTTCATGTGCAATTATCAAACCCTCAAGGCATGTCAACGACTTCTCTCATTATTAGATAATCTAAAATTCAACATCTTGAATAATTTTATCTTGTAAAAATTCGTTAAATGATCAAAACTACCTGTTTCGGCCGCATTTTTCAAGGATAATGCATTTTGGAATAGTAATTTTTTGGAGAATATGTGACTAAAAAATAAGGAAAAAATTTGAATTTACATGTAAAATTATTTTATAAGAGAACGTTTGATTGAAAATGAATTTTGAGAATAATGGAGCTCAACGACCTCGTAAAAACTACCTTTTAGAAAAACCTAAATTCATATTTATGTGTTTTATTGAGGAAAGAATGTATTTTAGATAGTGATATGATGGGAAATATATGGTTAAAAAGTAAAAAAAAGTTATTCATATTTATGTGTTTGAAATAATGTATTTTGAAAGAATGTGTACCAAACAGATGCTATATATTTTATCTTCAACACAATTCCTCAACTTGTTGGAATCAACTTATAAAAAATTCTTAAACAGACGGTTGAAACTTGAACTCAAAATCTTGCCTAGTCAACCCACTAATATGCATGTACCTTGATGCGAACGGTCTATTCATTAGACATGAATGTTACCCCTCTTCTACCTTTCGATCATTCGATAAGGTTCCAAACATGTCGTTCTTCAACTAACTAAATGATTAGTCCAGAGAGATTTTTTCCCATCCCATCGCTGTCGCCATCGTCTTTCATTATGTAATGGTTCCACTTGGTCCTCTTGCTATTGTCGGCTAGTATAAAAATCTCCGTCCTCAGCAGATGAAGTTCAAGTGGTCTCTATCTTTGCAGAAAATATCTCTTTGCTTGTCATATAAAAATCTCCGTCCTCAGAAGATAAAGTTCAAGTGGTCTCTATATTTGCAGAAAATATCTCTTTGCTTGTCATCAATTATAGCTCCTTTGATCTTGTCTTTTGCCAAGTGGTACATTTTTTGAAAATAAAAAATAAAAATTCAAGTGCACCTCGCATGATATTGTTAGAAATTGACCATTCGGTTAATCAATGCCGTTCAATTTGCTGAATTATTGTTCTCTTGTTGAATCCATCGTGAATCAGCTCCATTTGGAATCCATATGTGATGGCTGGAACTTGATGGTCCCTTCATTGGTTGTTTCCTATATTTATATCCAAAATATTTTGTACACTATGAGACATTATTTCAAGGAAAAATTACAGAACTACAAAGGTTTGAAGATACATTTTTTTTTTTTTTTTTGAGGGAAATAAATTTATTCATTGCTCAAATCGGCAAGGAGTACATTCGAGATAAATAAAGGCGAATAATTAGACCATTCAATGGTATCATGAAAAGAACTAGCAGCCTTAGCTAGTGTGTGTGCAACTTGATTAGCCGATCTCCTCACCCAACTGAATTTAACATTTGGCATATCCAATGCGAGGAAACGGCACTCTTCAATAAGCAGACCGAAGTAGGAGTTGTCGACTTCATATTTTTGCAGAGCATTATAGACCAAAAGAGAATCCATCTCAATGATTTGGACCGCAGGGAATCGAACTTTTAGCCAGGACAGAGCCTCACGAACTCCCAAAGCTTCAGCAATAAGTGGATCAGTAATCCCCCTAACCGGTATTATTTTGGCAGCAACAAAAGAGCCCCGGCTGTCACGTATTACAAGCCCAAATCCAGCTCCTCCCTGGTTCTCGAAAATGGCAGCATCAGTGTTGATTTTAAGTGAGCCATCCGCAGGTGGGTACCATTTAGCGAAATCCAGTGGCTTTGGAATTCGGCTCGGGGTAGCTGCTGGTTGATGGACTTCACGCCACTGGTGCAAAAAGCCTTTTGAATTTGCAATGACCTTCATCACTGTATAGGAGCGGGATTGCCAAACAACCTCATTACGGTTCGTCCAAATGGCCCAGCACGTCATGCCAATTAATTCTCGAACTTCTTTGTTGTTGCTTAGCACAATGTTTAACCAATCTTTGAAACTATCTGCCAAGGAGGGGGATGAATTAATCCCCAATGTATCCCAAACTCTTCGAGCGAGCGTGCAATGAACCAGGCTGTGCAAAACAGATTCGTCGTGCTGCAAACATACTGGGCAGAGTTTATCAATGTCCACTCTCTTGGCCCTTAAGTGGTCTGCTGTAGGAAGTACTAGTTGTGATGCTCGCCAGAGAAAGTTGCGTACTTTTGCTGGTATTTTGAGATTCCATATAGTGCGCCAAAAACTATCCATCGTATTTGGGTACTCCTGGAAGAATTCTTGCATCAGCCTCTTATATCCACTTCGAACCGAATAAAATCCCTTATTATCATGGACCCAATAGATTCGATCGGATCTTCCATAGGAGCTCAAGGGGATCTTCAATATTTGTCCTCGTTCTTCTTCACTGAAGAGATCAACAAGTATATCATAGTCCCATCTGTTTTCACCTGGTACAAACAATTGATTAACAGTTGCTTCCTCATGACCTGGGAGTGGATCAGATGTCACGAAGCCATGATTCGGGTTAGGCAGCCAGGGGTCACGCCAAATTCTGGCAGAAGTGCCACTTTCTACACGGTATCTGCATCCATCTTGCAAAAGAGACTGGGCAGCCAATAAACTTCTCCATACATAACTAGGGTGATGTCCAGGTTTAGCCTCCAAGAAGGTAGAAGATGGGAAATATCGAGCTTTAAAGACCTGAGCAACCAAGGACGAAGGTTGGGTAATGAGTTTCCAGCCAAGTTTGCCAAGCAGAGAAATGTTCGTCTCGTGTAGCCTCCGAAAACCCATACCCCCTTTGGATTTTGGAAGACATAATTTATCCCAAGAAGTCCAGTTAATTCCCCTTTTGTTCCCCTGGTGCGATTTCCACCAGAACTTATTCATGATTTTTTCAATCTCATCACACAGCTGCGTCGGAATCAAGAATACACTCATAACATAGTTGGGAACAGCTTGAGCAACGGTTTTAAGTAAAATTTCTTTACCCGCTCTGGATAAAGTCTTCTCTTTCCATCCTTCTACTCTTTGCCACACACGGTCTTTGATAAAAGCAAAGACCTCTTTCTTATTCCGTCCGATTAAAGATGGTAAGCCAAGGTATCTCTCATGCCCGTGGAAAGCTTGTATGCCCATAGCCGATCTAATGTCAACTTGGCGAGCTGGATCAACATTTCGACTGAAATAGATACTGGATTTATGGTAATTTATAGATTGGCCAGATTCTTTTTCATATGTTTTCAGCAATTCTTTAACCTCATCGCACTCCTTCAGGTTGGCTCGAAAGAATAATATACTATCATCCGCAAAGAAAAGATGGGTAAGAGAGGGAGCATTCCTTGCAATTCGACAACCGTGTATAGCCCCTGTAGCTTCCTTAGATTGAATAAGTGTGGACAAACTTTCCGAACAGATGATGAATAAATAAGGCGATAAAGGGCAACCTTGACGTAGACCACGCTCAGGGACGATGGGCCCAATTTCCGTTCCCCCATGTATTACATGATACTTAACCGTGGAGACACACAAGAGAACTAAGTCGACCCATCTTTGAGGGAACCCCATACGGATCATTGCATGCTTCAGGAACTTCCATTCAAGGCGGTCGTAAGCCTTGCTTATANTAATTTTTTGGAGAATATGTGACTAAAAAATAAGGAAAAAATTTGAATTTACATGTAAAATTATTTTATAAGAGAACGTTTGATTGAAAATGAATTTTGAGAATAATGGAGCTCAACGACCTCGTAAAAACTACCTTTTAGAAAAACCTAAATTCATATTTATGTGTTTTATTGAGGAAAGAATGTATTTTAGATAGTGATATGATGGGAAATATATGGTTAAAAAGTAAAAAAAAGTTATTCATATTTATGTGTTTGAAATAATGTATTTTGAAAGAATGTGTACCAAACAGATGCTATATATTTTATCTTCAACACAATTCCTCAACTTGTTGGAATCAACTTATAAAAAATTCTTAAACAGACGGTTGAAACTTGAACTCAAAATCTTGCCTAGTCAACCCACTAATATGCATGTACCTTGATGCGAACGGTCTATTCATTAGACATGAATGTTACCCCTCTTCTACCTTTCGATCATTCGATAAGGTTCCAAACATGTCGTTCTTCAACTAACTAAATGATTAGTCCAGAGAGATTTTTTCCCATCCCATCGCTGTCGCCATCGTCTTTCATTATGTAATGGTTCCACTTGGTCCTCTTGCTATTGTCGGCTAGTATAAAAATCTCCGTCCTCAGAAGATGAAGTTCAAGTGGTCTCTATATTTGCAGAAAATATCTCTTTGCTTGTCATCAATTATAGCTCCTTTGATCTTGTCTTTTGCCAAGTGGTACATTCTTTGAAAATAAAAAATAAAAATTCAAGAGCATCTCGCATGATATTGTAATACCCCTGTTAGAAATTGACCATTCGGTTAATCAATGCTGTTCAATTTGCTGAATTATTGTTCTCTTGTTGAATCCATCGTGAATCAGCTCCATTTGGAATCCATATGTGATGGCTGGAACTTGGTGGTCCCTTCATTGGTTGTTTCCTATATTTATATCCAAAATATTTTTTTACACTATGAGACATTATTTCAAGGAAAAATTACAGAACTACAAAGGTTTGAAGATACATTTTAAAAAGTAACAAACTTGTGAATTTTTTTTTCCCGAAGATCAGATGGTCACATTTTGTAATTCTTGATAAAAGTTTGTGACCTATAATTTTTTTTTATCCGAAGATCAGATGGTCACATTTTGTAATTACTGATAAAAGTTTGTGACCTATAATTTAACTAATCAAGTCATGGTCACAATCATACACAACTTATGTTGCAGTGACACATTAATCACAAATCATACAAAGTCATAATCAGGATCACAAAATTTGTAAATCACAATTACAAATTTAGTTGCAAATCATATATTTTATTATGTCATAAATTATTTATTGATCACAATTATCCAAATTATTGTTCGCAAATATTATTCATCCCATCCCACACCACTCTATCGCCATTGGCAATGATCTTTTCACCTCACCACCTCCAACCAACCACATAGATCTTTACACTGCTCCATCACCATGCAGATCTGCACCACCACACAGCAACATTGCACCATAACATCTTTGGGTTGGGCCCTGAAGTTCAGGCTTGCACTGGAATTTATTGGACTCTGCCCTTATGGATGATAAAAAATCCGCCAAACTTGATACCTACAGGCCCCACCCTGAACGAGATTGGGATTACCCACTTAAATGGGTATTCAGATTCGGGTAACAGGCGTCTTGCCTGTTTATTTTTTATTTTTGAATTCAACCAAATATATTTGAATGATTTGACTTTTAAAAATAAATAAATATTAAAAAATATATTATTATATCACTCTAATGAATGGGAACAATAAAATGAATTATTAAAAATAAAATAAAAATTAAACGGGGTAATAAACGAGGCAATGGTCCTCGTCTTAAACGGGTAACCGAGTGGGAAATTGCCTGACGGGGCAGGGGTGGGAGAGGTTGCCCCAATCTCGACCCGCCACGTTGCCATCCCTTTCCGCCCCCTGGTTGGTTTTCCATAACGGTGGCCGATGTTGGTGGGCGGCAACCAAGCGAATTGAAAGAGAACAGAGTGAGAGAGCAAATAGAGAGAGGGTCACAGATTTTTGGGCATGGGTGTTGGCGCATGGGTAGGGGTATGGTGTTGGTGGGATGGAGAGAGTGGGGTGGGTACAATTATTTTTTGAAAGAAAAAATTTTGTACTTGATTATTGAAATGAGAAGTTCAAAAGTAGGTTTGTGTGTAAATTTTCGTTATTTCAACTTTGTAGGCCCAAATCCGTAGCCCATAAATTTCTAAACCTATTTCCTGTCCAATGGGCTAACGTGGAAAGTATTATCGGGCAATTTACGCAAATAGGAAGGAAATAGGGCTGAATTGATATATTATTTTTTAAATCAAATTTTGCAAAACAACAACTTCGACTGACGTTTAAAGAAAAAATTGATAATTACAGTTTTTGCAATTTTTTTATGTATATGTAAATTTTTTGACAAATTATAGCGTTTATGTAAATTTTGGCAAATTGCTACACTTTACTTCAAATCTAGTTACATTAGAATTAGCCCCCGGGACTCAGTGGTGCAAAGGATATGAGTGAGGTAATTTCAGTTGAATTGACAGTCGTTGAGTCGCAGTGTGAGAGTTCGATTCCTGCCACTTACAATGTATGAAATTGGATTCTTTGTGAGTATCAGTATGACAGCTCTTGTACTCTGACCTGTTGAGGCACATTTCACGATTTACCTCCTCCACAATGCTCAGAGGCGGGGCGGTGGGAGCCCTCAAAGTTGGGGTTTAACCTTTTAGTTACATTAGAAGTCACAACTGTTCAAATTAAATGCAACAAATTTGGTTCCTCAACAAAGTTAAACAGATGAAATCACCAACGTGGAATTAATACACGAACCACTTTTTTTTTTATCTGAATAAAAACGCACAACAATGAAGATTATATATACTTGGGCAACCCTCCAATGAGAGAGGTTTTTTCTCGAATTGTGACGGTTCATGTCATATTCAAAATCGGATATAAAATTAACATCCCTTAAGACGATAACATAAAATTACATTTCAATTTACCTTCTTAAAGGTTAGACTTTTTTTTTTCTTTTTTTTATCATTTCGACTGGATTTTATTAAACTCTTGTAACGTTTATTTATTTTCTTTTGAAATTGGATTAAAATTGAAAAAATTTATTGTTATTGTTAATTTTTATTAGACGAGTGAGACCTAATAACGACTATATTTTCAATATAAATTGTTCTGAAACATGTTCTGACGTGGATTTTGACAGCTATTACATTAACTTGTAAAAAATGTCTAGTTAAACATCTTGTCAATGCAATAAAATTCTTCTTACACTATTTGAAATCATTATGTCTAATCCTTGTTTACTGCACATGATTCCATCAAGTATGCCACAAATCAAGGACAAATTCTCCCTCATATATTAGTCCTAATCATATCCAATTAGGTAATTTCCAGGAATTAATTCTTTTCTTTTTTTTTGGTAAATAATCAAATCGTAGACGTCGATCTCATAACAGTAAAAAATAATAATAAAGTCACGCCAAAGGATTTAAATAAAAGTTTTGATTGATTTGACACGTTTCTTCTAGAAACATTGATTTAACGTAAGTATGCAATGTAAAGCGATTTTATTGGGGCCATTTTTTTAAATTTATTTTCAATCATATATTTTCAAATAAAATAATAGAAAAGTAAATTTTTTTTAACCACATATTCTACAAAAATTACTATTCAAATATGCATTTTTCTCTCAAGATGGGCTCAAACGAGGGCTTAATGAACCAAACCCTAATTAAGATATACAATTTACAAGACATCAATGATAATGATGTTGATATTTTGCCAACTAATCCTAATTATTTTGGAAATCTTGCACTGAATGATGTAATAAGTCGAATTGAATACAGTAAAAAATTCAATTAACCCATTCATTTATTTTGGAAATCTTTTCTGATGCGAATATTAATTATACTTATATAAGATAATTGCAGCAGTGGTGCCAAACCTTTGAATTTTTCGCAACCTTTATCCTAACTAGGGTTGGGCATGAATTGAGTTGGGTCGATTTTTGTCACATCCCAAACTCAACCCAACATGATCGATTTGATCAAAATTTAACCCAACTCAACCCGTGTAAAGGTTGAAACTCAATCCCACCCAACTCAATCAAGTATCGGTAGGGTTGGGTTGGGTTAGGATGGTTGGTCGGTACAAAAATTAAAGTCATCCAATTTTATTTGCAGCAGCGATCTGCTGCTGTCTCGCACAGCAGCACGCTGCTGCTGTCTCGCACAGCGACGCCGCTGCTGTGCGAGACAGCAGCGTCTCGCTGCTGTGCGCCAAGCTGCGTTGGGTGGGTGTGGCTAAACGGTTGAGGTGCCGGATCTATGGTTGAGGTGGTTGTATTGGAAGTGTTGATTGGATTTGGTTTTGAGCTGCCGGAAGTATTGGCGGTGGTTGTGAGCAAGTGTTGATTGGATTTGGTTTTGGAAAATGTGGCAGATCTGGGTTGTGTGGTTGTGTAGATGGTGGATCTGTAGTGGTATGTTTTGTGCGGTGGTGGTGGTGGATGTGGGTCGTGTTGTGATGATGGTGATCTGTGTGGTGGTGGTAGACAATTTGATTTTTGTCGATCTGTGACCTGTGTGGGTGTCAGTGACCTAGNTGGGTGTCCGTGACCTAGAAATTGGAAATGTGACTCGCTGAAATGGAGCTGTGACCCGTATAAGTTTTGAATTTTTTTTAATCTGTGACCTATAAAAAATGACATGTGACCTGTGACTTTGAAATTGAAAATTTGTAACTTAAAAAAAGAATCTGTGACCTTAATTTTTTTGATCTGTGACCTCAAAATAATCTGTGACCTATAAAATTTTAAATCTGTGACCTCGAAATAATCTGCGATCTACAAATTTTTTTATCTGTGACCTCGAAATAATCCGTGACCTACAAATTCCTTGATCTGTGACCTCGAAAAAGTCGCCGGATCGGAGCAATCGCCGGTCGCCGGATCGGAGCAGTCACAGGTCGCCGGAGTAGTAGCCGGAGCAATGGTGGTAGGGTAGGTGGGGTGAGGTGGAGTGGGGTGGGTTGATTTTATTATATTACAGTTAAATAATTAATTTAATATAATAATTATGAAATCAGCTTAATTAATTAAAAACAAAAACCTGACTTTTACAAATTTGAACTTGAGGACCTGATTTTTAAATTTGCTTAAGTAAATGCCTGATGCATAAACTTTTCCCTTGTAAAAAAGGGTAAAAAAATCCATTTTTATGTTAAAACAATGGCAAGCAAATAGCGCCTAAATATGTTNAATCGCCGGTCGCCGGATCGGAGCAGTCACAGGTCGCCGGAGTAGTAGCCGGAGCAATGGTGGTAGGGTAGGTGGGGTGAGGTGGAGTGGGGTGGGTTGATTTTATTATATTACAGTTAAATAATTAATTTAATATAATAATTATGAAATCAGCTTAATTAATTAAAAACAAAAACCTGACTTTTACAAATTTGAACTTGAGGACCTGATTTTTAAATTTGCTTAAGTAAATGCCTGATGCATAAACTTTTCCCTTCTACAAAAATCACAATTCAAATATGCATTTTTCTCTCAAAATGGGCTCAAGGGCTTAATGAACCAAACCCTAATTAAGATATACAATTTACAAGACATCAATGATAATGATGTTGATATTTTGCCAACTAATCCTAATTATTTTGGAAATCTTGCAGCGAAAGATGTAACAGGTCGAATTGAATACAGTAAAAAATTCAATTAACCCATTCATTTATTTTGGAAATCTTTTCTGATGCGAATATTAATGATACTTATATGGGATAATTGCAGCAGCGGTGTCAAATCTTTGAATTTTTCGCAACCTTTATCCTAACTAGGGGTGGGCATGGATTGGACTGGGTCGATTTTTGCCTCAACCCTAACTCAGCCCAACATGATCGGTTTGATCAAAATTTAACACAACTCAAACCGTGTAAAGATTGAAACTCAATCCAACCCAACCCAATCAAGTATCGGTAGGGTTGGGTTGGGTTAGGATGGTTGGTCGGTATGTGACGATTTGTTAACAAAAATTAAAGTCATCCAATTTTTTATTATACTAGATTCGAATAGACAAAATTAAATAATAAGTAAATAAATAAATAAATAAAATTATCTATTGTCTTATTCAATCCTTATTAACCAAGCCTATAAAAAATACAGTGCATTTAACATAACATGGAAAACTTATACTACATTTCTTATGGAAAGAACAATAAGCTCTTCCTCGAAAATACACCAAGGTAATAATGGTTACACTATCTACTCATACTTTTTAGATTTATTTTATTTTTCTAGTTATTTTATTTCTTTTATTTTTATTTTTCTTTTTTTTAAATGGCGGGTTGGGGTGGCAGGTTTATTCGGTTTTCACAAGTTAATCCATAACCTGACCCGACTCGACCCGGCTACACAGCCAACCCGTGTAAAAACAACAAAAAAACCAACCTAGTCGAGTTGGT